GAAGCCAAAATCATGTGGATCCCGAAGGATGAAAATCCGCAAACATTCCCGAAGAAAAAAATTGACACACCAATGATGATGTTGTCGGTTTTTTGGAGCGTGAATGGCATCATCGCAATTGATATTCTTCAAAAACCTAATACGATGAATGCTCAGTATCTAATTGACAATGTTCTTACTCAAATTATCAATTCTGATGAGTTTGAGAAATCCAAACAACAAAAACAAAAGTTTGCAATTCATTTTGATAATTCAAGAGTTCACAAAAGTCATAAGGTAATGAATTACTTGGTGGAAAACAATGTCAAAGTTGTTCCAAACCCAATTTATTCACCTGATATTGCACCCTCTGACTTTTATTTATTCGGCACGCTAAAAAAGAGAGCTGAAGGACGCGAATTCGCGAGTCCAGATGATCTTGAAAATTTTGTAAGAGAGCAATTTGAGCAATTTTCTCATGATGATTTAAAGCGTATCTTTCAAGCCTGGATCGATCGCTGCGAACGCGTGATTGAATCCAATGGTGATTATATTTAAATAAACTTTATATATATGTAACTTGTTTATTTCTATTCGCAGTATTCAGGTTTGTGCTAAACACACCTTTGGACACCCTATATTTGTATCATCAGCTTTAACACCTAATTTATAAGTAATTGGTGCCGTTGATGTTTGACCCTGTTGAAATGTGAAATCAGTTTCCGTAGGGAATCCACAGAGGAAATGAGTGTTATCGTATGATTCATATAAATGTTTAACGCTTCCATCATCAATTAACGACCTCATCACATCTTCATTAAATCCTATCATATCGTTATTTGTATTGCATGCATTAGCAACCATTTCATAGAACACAGGACCGTAAGAGCTCTCTGGTTCAGCTGGCATACTTCCATAAGCGCCCATTGATAATTGAAGGGTTTCAAATTGAGGATTTTCGAAATTCACGATATAATTATCATTCTTCCTAAATAAAGCCCAAATGCTTTTAACGTTAATTGGTGTATAAGCTGCTGTGAACGTTGCTGATGGTGAACCTTTACTGAACGAACCGTCCATAGGAATCCAGTCCATTACTTTAATTGGAAAACATAAAGCTTGTGATGTACAATGGTCAACTAATTCAGTGTAAATATTTGGATCGAGTGAAAATGCTTTAGGATGAATGAAGCAATCAATGAATTCAGCTGATTTCTTCGTTAATCTTTGTTCAACAGTTGAAACAGTAATTTCACCATTTGATTTAGAAACTGCTGTTATCATATTGAATGGTTCATTCCATGGAACAAATTTATTAGTTGGTGGGTCATAATTATCTTTTACCTGACTGATTAAAGAAGGATTATGAGCTAAAATATCTTCTACCGGCAGTGCTGTTACCTGGAATGCATCGCTACTAAATTTAACCTTTAACTGAATGTTGCCTGCAAAAGCAGGAATAAATCTAATAACTTCTAGAATAAGGAATTTACGACATGGAATCTTTATTTTAATGTCAAAATTAATTTCAGCTCCTGCAACTAAAGGTCCTGAGATAATTTGACCTGTTCGAACTGTTTCAGAACGTTTCCATACATCTTTATGTCTCGTTTTTGAGAAAACATCAACTTTCTTTATTTGTGTAGTCTGTGAATTAGAAATGATATATGCTTCTTCTCTTGCGTTATCCTGACTATAAATAACTCTTCCATTTGCTAATAACTGATATGCTTCAATGGTGTAAATTGATTCATCAAAAACGCCAAAGAAACCTGGAGAATTAGTATTTGGAATTGATGAGCCAGTAATAGCATTATCCACGATATATTTACTTTTATAGGTAGTTGTAAGGAATGTGTTATAAAGGTCTAGCATATTTTCACCTGGCGGAGATAAATTGAATGTGACCCAGTTATGATCCTTTGCGCTTCCTGGTTGTGATGGAATTTTTGCATCGATATATCTTCTATTAGTATCACCAATATTAATTGCATTATCGATTACCTCAAAATATGAACGAATTTGATGGATATGTTCAGCTGGTGTAAATTCGTTAAGCTGTTCGTTTTGCATGTTTTATGTTAGATAAAAATATTTATTTAGTTTAATATTCTAACTCTTCTTCTTAGTTGAGGAATTTGTTTCTTTTGTTCAATAATTTCATGTTTTACGTTTTTAACAAACTCTTCATTAATTTTGGTTTCCTGTTCTTTTACTGGTGGGTCTGGATTTTTTGATTCCGTTTGCTTTTCAATGAAATTTACAAATTTAGCTATTAATTCTTGATTCGTTATCGAAAGTACATCGGGTTTGATTTCGGCGCTCTGCGCCAAGATGGACTCTCTGAGTCCTCCTGGTTTAGGTTCTGGTTTAGATTCCGTTTCCTTTATCGTGGGCTTTGTCCTGACAACCTCGCTGTCTTCCGCTTTTGTTTCAAGTTTAGGTTTTATATCTATTTTATCAGTTTCCGAATTCGTTAATGGAACTCGTCTTTTTCTTACATAAATTTTTCCATCTTTACTTGTTGATACATAATATAATGGATGCTGAATTCCTCTTGCATCATTTAATATAATCGATTGTCTCTCAGATTTTGATAGGCTTATATTTAATTCAAATAAAATTTTTAAATTTTGAATTTTTTATCGGTAATCAAATGAGTCAGGGATTAGATATTGAAGCCATCAAAAAAGAAATTCGTGAGCAGATATTAACAGAACTAAAGACACCTAAAGCCGAAGAAAAACCAGTAAAACCAAAAAGGAAATTAAGTGAAAAGCAGTTAGCCGCATTAGCTGCAGGAAGAGAGAAGAACCCGAGAATGAAAGCAAAAAGAGAACGTGAGGCTAAGGAAAAAGCTGAAGAGGCTCATTGAGCCTCATGAGGGTCGAAGACCCTTTTCCATTGAGAAGAAAGAATAAATGATATATTTTTGTTTGTAATAAATGTATAGACAAGTACCTTTAACAGTTGCTTTCAGTTCTGAAAACGAAAATGTCAAAATAAATGGAAATAGAATTACATTTAAATTACCTATTGACTGGTCTGTTAATATAAATGAAAAATATATTGGTTTATCAAATATGTATATAACGCGAGGATTTAGAAAGGTTGAATTTGAGCTTGAAGTTGTTGTTATAAACGAAACCCAAGAATTTAAGCAAACTATTCACATATATAAATATTTCAAAGATGATACAACATTATATGAATGCATGAATGATTTTAATGAAATTTTCGAAAAGAAATTTAACAAAAACGCTTTAGGATTAAATGTGTATCTTGATAAATTAGGTGAAGAAGGAATTCATCCGCAGATTATAGACTTTCATTATGAATTTATTGAACAAATAGATGATTCACATACATGCACATTTGCTATATACTCGCCGTTTAATGAAGTAGCAGAAAAGAGACAAAGTGATTTTAGGATAGGTTTTAAAATTTCTCAGTATAATGAAGACTTCATGAATGTATTTAATTATAAACCCGGAGAAGAACGAACAGTGTTATCACCAATAATAACATATAATGTATGGGACAGAAAACAAGTGATCTTATATTCAAATATCGCTAAAGGGGTTGAAAATGAATTTATCGGTCATACTAGAGCATCACCATTAACAAATATTAAATATTATAAGTTATCAGGAAATAATAGAGAGTTTTGGATTGATATGTATTCTACACATGATCATAAATGTCCCATTGTGTTACCCGAAGACAGAAAGGATGTTTTCTTCCTTGAGGCTCAGTTAATGAATTCAACTATTGCAACTTTATAAGAAAATTCACAAGGTTAGAAAAGACCCAAAGGTTGAGACTATCGAGGTTAGAAATGAGGTTAGATATCGGGTTAGATCTACTCTAAGCCGCGTAGCGGCGAGATGGGCTCAAAGAGCCCTCTAAATTAATTTTATCATTTATGAAAAATTTAGTATATACAGAAATTAAAAAATTTTTGAGTTAATTTATTTTTAAGTTTATTTTTTTACTCTGGGTGTTAAAATCTATGATAAAAAAAATAAATAAAAAATTTTAACGTTAATTTTTAAGTTTATTTTTTCAAAAATTATTTTTTTATTTTGTGAAGTGTCAAAAAATTTAACGTTAATTTTTAAGTTTATTTTTTAAAAATATTTTTTTATTTTGTGAAGTGTCAAAAATTTTAACGTTAATTTTTAAGTTTATTTTTTAAAAAATTATTTTTTTTATTTTTGTAAATGTCAAAATATTTTACGTGTCAAACGGGTTTTTGCAGATTCTAGTAATTTGAGTACTAAGAGGCGTAGACCCTTGGTACCCAATTACTAGATACTAACTAACGTTGCAATCTTAGAATGGAATGATCCAGAGCATTTTCTCGGAGATATACAAAAAGCATTACATCTTCCCCCACTTCCAGAAGATTGTGTCAAATCATTTGAAGAGAATTGTTACTCCAAAATGATATTGAAACAAAAAACTGTTACAAAAGGTTCTAAAAAACAGAACAAATACAAAAAATCCATTCAGAGTGTACCAGGAGGAGATTATCAAGTTTTCAAGTCCGAATGGGAATCAGAAGACGAAGACATTGATGACTTTGATTAACGAAAATTACATTTTATTTATTGTTTTTGTTTTTAATTAAATTATTATTATGCTCATTTTCTTATTTTGATTTTTTCTCATTATGATATAAATAATTTATTAATGCATTTATCCAATAATTATGCTATGATATTTTTATGCCTTATTTCATTTCTCTTATATTTGATAATCTGGTAAAATATAGTTCAGACTATAATCATTTTAGATTATTGATATATTTATATAGGTTAGAATAAAATTAGTTTCATTTTCTACTTTTATTTTGAATTAATAATTTATAATATCAAATATTATGGCGTAACCTCTCCTTTAAAATATAGATATATATAGGCCTATAGAGTTTATTGGCACTCTCAAAACTCTAGAATTTTGAGTTTACTATACCCTTAAACCAATATTTTTTTATCGTCCATTTGACATTTTATCCAATGCAACGCGATGAGCATTCAGATGGGATCTCCAACCGTAAAAATCGGCGTTTTAAATTCTCACAGAGACCTAGAGTCTCCAGTGCTGATATTTTATTGAACGCGTTAAAGCCATTTGAATCTATCGAGTTTCAAGACGACGAATACGACAACCCTGCAATCATCCTTGGTAAGCTCTTAACGACGCTATCGATTTCTTCCAGCGAAATGCAAGACCTTCATAAAATCCAAACTCTTGTATTTAAAGTGGATGGAGAGTGGCAAACACAGCCAAACTCCTCAGAAATTTTAGCTGCATCTGTTCATCAGCTTATCGTATGCCTACTTTCACCAGATTCAAGTGTAAACTTCCAGAAGAATTTCTTACTTTCTTCGCCATCTTTTGTCAATCCTAGGTTCCTTCTCGCAGCTATTTATCAGCGATACTTTACAGATATCTCTCTACCAGGTTGCAACGTCAAAGACAACGATGAAATTAAAAACATCATTCGTCCGAGAGCCGTCAACGTCATAAAATTCTGGCTAAAGCAATGCCCATATCAATTCGACAAAGAGATGGTTAAATCACTCAATATCTTCCTTGAAGCTCTAAATCACGATAAAGCCATGGAAAACCTCGCCAAGAACGTCTCAACCGCCTTGAACGAGTTTAACGGTATCAAAACTAATACTACGAAAACTACAATCAGAGAGCCGCCGCCACTCAACATTCCATCGACTCCACCAGAGACATGGACTCTCCAGCAGATCGAGCCTCATGAGCTCGCTCGCCAGATTACCATATTCCATTCCCACATTTTCCATAATATTACACCACTAGAGTTGCTTGCAGCACTTTGGGGTAATTCTGAGTGCGGTGGCTGCCCTAACATTATCAGACTTCAAGAGCATTTTGATTTACTTTCTCGTTTTATTTCGCATAGTATTATTTTCCCGGCAACGCCAAAGGAGCGCGCTAATGAGTTCAAGAGATGGTTCGAAGTCGGCCAGCAGTTCGAAGCGCAGCTAAACTTCAATGGACTCTTCTCTGTAATCTGCGGAATTACACATCGCTCTGTCGTTCGTATGGAGCAGACAATGAAGATCGCGTATAAGTCTATCAACAAGAAAGAGCTCGACGCATTAACCGATCTTTGCGAAATCGCTCAGGATTTCAAGAATTACAGACAAAGACTTCAGAATACTACAGATCACTGCGTACCATTCATTGGTTGTTTCCAGAAGGATTTGGTATATATTCAGGAGTCATATCCAAACAAAATCAACGATTTGATCAACTTTAAGAAATGTTCCGAATCTTACAAACTTATTGAAAGAATTGCGATGTTCCAGAACCAGGACTATTGTTTCTTCATAAACGATACAATACAAAGACTTGTTGAGAACATCCCTCCATGCGGTGATACTTTGGAATTAATCACACTCTCCAAGGAAAGAGAACCAACACAGCCACACAAATAAGATTATTTTATTATTACTTTTATTCTTCTTTTTTTTTGTATTGCCATTTTAGAAAATTCGTTCTATCTAGAATAAATTGTAAATTTTTCGATTAAAAAATAATATTCTTTCATACTTTTTTCAGTTTTATGTTAGGGGTGGCGGAAAGTGATGTAACTGAATAACAAAAAGTGAAAATTACCAAATAAATATTTGAAATTTATTGTTATTGTAGCATAGCTAAATAGTGTATATAAATAAGTATTTACTACAAAGTTTGCATAGACTGAGTTCTTTATCTGGTAGAGAATTAATGAAAAAAAAATGAACTTTCAACTGTATCTTGTCTATGGTTTTTGAATTAATATCAAAAATACTTAAGGTCTGAAATATAGGTACATAAAACTATCTTTTCTATTGAGCAAAAGTAGTATATATGGAGGGTTGTGTGACTTTTGTTGTAAATGTAAGAATTCATACAATATAGAACGATTTTGTATCATTTTTTTTAACATATGAAGTAAAAAATGTATGATTCTTACGGTTTTTATTCTTACGTTTTTGAATAAATCAAGATTTAAAAAATTTTCAAAATTGTAAGACATTTACACTCAGCCCAAACATAAACACATTAAAAAAAATTAACATTAATTTTAAAATAATTTATTTTTTATCTTTTATAAAAGAAGCTATATATAGATGATGTCAGATATTCCGCGATTAATTAAACAAATCCTGAATGGAATCAAATGTCATAATCAATGGAGTCATAAATGAGAAAAAGAAATTAGAAACTAATGATTATTTGAATTTATGAAATCAATTATTTGATTCATTCTTTCTTCAATCTCTTCTATTCTTTTTGTTAAATCATCAATTTTCATTAATGAGGTGATTCTTGATTGAGGAATAGATTTCAAACTAACCACCCCCTTTATTTTTGAAATTTTGAATCCATCAACTTTAAACATTTTATTCAATTTACATGTTGTCAATTCTTCAAATAATTTTTTATTATTAGCATAATAGTCATTAAATTCTTCAACAGATGAAAAATTTTTTGTTTCAGTAATTGGTTTAACAACGTTTATTTTTTGTTGAACATGACACTCATTTATTTCTTCCTCTGTTTCATTTATTTTTAAAATCGGTTTCATTTATTATTAAATAAAAATTAGAATATAAGTGATGAAATATATTTTTTAATTAATATTAAATCAGAAATGGCGGCAGGATTCTTTAAAAAAATTATGGGATGGAATTAAGAAAGCTGCAGGTTGGGTTTATAAAAAGGTTATTAAACCTGTTGCAAACTTTTTGGCACCAGTAGCGAAAACGGCAGGAACTATCATAGGTGGAGTATTAGGTACTAAAGCAGGTAATCCGGCGATGGGAGCACAAGCAGGTAACGCAATTGGTGGAATAGCTGAAGGAATACTTAATAAAATAGGAGGTAGATAGTGGAAAAATAAATAAATATAGGGTGTCCAAAGGTGTGTTTAGCACAAACCTGAATACTGCGAATAGAAATAAACAAGTTACATATATATAAAGTTTATTTAAATATAATCACCATTGGATTCAATCATGCGTTCGCAGCGATCGATCCAGGCTTGAAAGACACGCTTTAAATCATCATGAGAAAATTGCTCAAATTGCTCTTTTACAAAATTTTCAAGTCATCTGGACTCGCGAATTCGCGTCCTTCAGCTCTCTTTTTTAGCGCCGAATAAATAAAAGTCAGAGGGTGTAATATCAGGTGAATAAATTGGGTTTGGAACAACTTTGACATTGTTTTTCCACCAAGTAATTCATTACCTTATGACTTTTGTGAACTCTTGAATTATCAAAATGAATTGCAAACTTTTGTTTTTGTTGTTTGGATTTCTCAAACTCATCAGAATTGATAATTTGAGTAAGAACATTGTCAATTAGATACTGAGCATTCATCGTATTAGGTTTTTGAAGAATATCAATTGCGATGATGCCATTCACGCCCCAAAAAACCGACAACATCATCATTGTGTGTGTCAATTTTTTCTTCGGAATGTTTGCGGATTTTCATCCTTCGGGATCCACATGATTTTGGCTTCTGTTGCATATTGAAACCAAGACTCGTCCCCTGTTACTAAAAAGCGAAACTTCTTGGATTGATACGCAGCCAATATAGAGAGGAGCTCTTTCGAAGATTGGACTCTAGATTTTTTTTGAACTGAATTAAGGTTGTGCGGAACCCAACGTGTATACGCTAGTAGTTTGTAGTTCAAATAATTGTGCAGATAATAACTGACTGTTGTACGTGGTATCTTTGTCATCTCCTCTATCCTTCTGAGTGATGCTCTTGGGTCTTCATCTAGCGCTTGAAGAATTGCTTTGATTTTTCTTTGATCCGGCGATTTTTTGTCAATTTTTATGATGGGCGCCTTTTTGTTCATGAAGTGATACATCCTAACATGATACGTTACAGTGGAATAGCTAGGAGCATCCATACCGAAGCATTTTACCAATGTCTCGTAGATTTTTTTACAGTCTTTGCATTTTTTTGCAAGAGCGAGGATGTTTTCTTTATGATTCATTAAAAAAATGAAAAAAATCCCGCCAAAATTTCCCGCGAAACCGCCTCTTGTCTCAAAATTCATTTTATATCCCGGCATGGCGCCAAAATACAACATACTCATCATATACATATATTCATATTTTTTATTATATATTTATAATCAGCATATATCTCTTTTAATAGTCTCATATAGAGCGCTGTGCTAAACGCACCTTTGGACACCCTATATTATTTTTATCTTAGTATCGGTTGAAGTCTTTGATAAACTTTTTCTCCTTTATTTAATATTTCTCTTATTGGGGCGGCTTTTGGTGTTATTGATTCAGCAACGTCACTAATTGCTTCTTTATTCTTAAATATCCAATTTGCTCCTTTCTTCATTGTTTCCCAAACTTTACTCGCTCCTCTTTTTACTTTATCCCATTTTTTAAAGAATCCTGCCGCCATAGTTGATTATTTCATTAAAATTAAAAATTCATTTTCATCTTTTAATTTTGATTTTTTATTTAATAATAAATGACGACTAACTATTTAGTGCCAAACACCAAACCGATTAATGGAAATGTGTTTCATTCATTCGAAAAGATAAATGAAATATTCGCAAAGAATGACGGTAGAAGATATTATAGAGAACTTGAAAGTTCATGCTATGACTCTGATGCTCCATATTTTGATGATAAACAAACTCATTTAAGAATTACAAATCCGGCTCATGATGTGAACCAATTAGGTGACACATATATTAAACGCAAAGTTAAAGCAACTCTAGTTTCAAATAAAGCTTTCACATGTGATACCGCTTTTAAATGCATGCGTTTATTCGTTGGTTACAAATCATCAAATCAAAGCTTTAAACAATTAGAAGTAGAAACCGAAAGAGGTGATGCTGGTTATCTTCAGATGGATTGCGCCCGTGAATCTTTCGCATTTGCAACATATAAACCGAAATCAGAAAGGAAAGTTAAAAAGTTTGTTCATTCGTTATATAATAATGTTCAAAAATATGATAACTCAGTATGTGGTAAATATATTGACCCTTCAGAAGTTTTCAAGAAGCAAATGAAGAAGTTGATGTCACTTTTGATATGATTATTCCGGTAAATGATTTGTTAGCATTTCAGGCGTTCGATGATTATCCTAAATCATTTGGTGAAATCATTCTTAAATATTATGTTTTCAGGGATACTTTAGTATTTTGTCAGGTTGACCCGTTAAGAGTTGCTGATTTACAAAATTACGTTTATGAAAAGATAACTGATGAAAATTATGAAAAGATTATGAATCATGTTTATAAATATGATCGCAAATTCCAACAAATCGGACTTCCTGCCAAATTAATTACAAGCTTAGCCACTACATCTGCTGACGCAACAGTTGATAACGTTATTATTTCATGCACAAAGATGGAAGTTTTAGAGGATAAATGCATTACACCAGGATATGGTTTAATTGAAGAATCAGTTAAAGCAATACCACGTTTATTCAGTAAGGAAGATCCATTCATGATTCCAGCTCAACATATTGACGTTCGTTCACTAAATGGAGGTTGCATCACTCCTGAAGGTATTAGCCCAGATTTCTCATACGCTCTTCATAATGTTACAGATGTTGTGTTAACATTTCCGAAGAATGCAATGCAAAGAACAGTTTTAGAAAATCCAATGCTTCGAGGTCTTCAGGTCACTATAGATTCCAGAAACTTCCCCGATCAAGCGATGACCACAGTGGGTGACATATTCTTTACACGTATGCTTCAAGCTTCTGATTTAGATGGAGTGAATGAATGCACGGAAGAATACGAGGACTCATTAACTAGACCACTGAATGCAGATGATGGCACGCCATTAGCTAGAACATGGAAAGACCAAACTTCATTCTTATGCACTATTCCAGTTCAACGTGATGGAGCGGGTATATTCTTTGATGGATTAGAAACTTTCAACTCACAAGTTACAGTACAAGTGAAAGCTTATCCAATCATTCAGGGTGAAAATGACACTTACTGTTCAAAGGTGACAAATCCTCCTCAGGTTTGGTTTACTAGGACTACATATTGGACATGGACACCGGATGAAGGTTTGAAATATCATCCAACAGGTACACCACCACAGTATAGAAGTTCATATGATGAAATATTGATGAATAGAAATGTTTAAAATTATAAATTTATTTTTGATTAAATGGATTTAAATTCATCCACCCCTTATGAAGAATTAGCAGGAGTATATAATACATACGTAGATGATATGATTAATGAAGCATTGAGTGATAATAGAAATGCTCTATCTAAGGAAAAATTAATGAAAATTCCATATTCTGAATGTTACTTAAATTCAATCACTGCAGCAATTGGTAAACAAAATAAAGGTAAAACATTAACGATATTAAAACAAATTATCATTATTGCTAACACTTCCCCCCATTCACATGTGTTAATTTATATCAACCGTTCAGGTTCACCTTCAGATGATACATTTGAATCTTTAAAGCATTTAATCAAAATTCCAATTATTTATTTATCACAAGAAGAAGCAGAAGATTATTTAAAAAACTTTTTAATGTATAAAGAATTATATAATACAATCAAGAAGCAAGGATTAGAGGATAAAATTATTGATAAACAACGGATGAATTATTTGAAACACTTTCTATTTCAAATTTTGATAGAGAATTTTTGCATTCACTCATTTTTCTAGATGATGCAGTGAAATCAAAACTAATAACAAATGAGAAATCATATTTTAATCATTATTAACTCAATGTCGACACATTCAGTGTTCATTCTTTATGGCTGTTCAATACTTCAAAGCATTAAGCACAAACATTAAATCAAATCTATCAACACTTTTCATTTTCAGTGGGTTTAGTCGTCAACAGTTGAACGTTATGCTTTATCAAGTGAATTTACCAATGAGCATTAATGAACTTTACACACAATATCAGCAATTAGGTGAACATGGAAAAATAATAGTTGATTTAAATAAAGGAGGTGTTAAATTGATAACTTTTTATAATTAATTTTTATTTTTTATTTATAATTAAACATGACAGAAATAGCAAATCTTCTACAGGTTCCATTAAAACAAGGAACAAACAAAAAGGGTGCATATAATAGAACTATGAAAGTTCCGATGGAATGAAAGAATTAGTTCATATTGTTGCTGGTCTTCAAAAAGATGTTAAACAAATGAGAAACGTTTTAACATTACCAGAAGCTCAAGCATATGCCAAACGTCATGGTCCAAATTGGGAAGCACACGAAGCAGACATTACGGGTCCAAATGGAAAACCTGATGGTATAAATGAAGTTTTCGTTACTGATGGTCAAGGTAATATTAAAGTCATAAATGGTTATAAATTAACTGTATCTGATTATCCTAAACGTAAAGCATATAATGAACATTATCCTATGCAATTTGATGAAAATGGAAAAGCTGTTAAACAATACATTGGAGAAGGTGAAAATGGTCCAATTAATTCATACCGTCATAATCCTTATTCTTATTTCAATGAAGAATTAAATGCTATTGAAGAGGGACCGGATGGATTACCACGATATTCTAACCAGTTTGAGGCCAATATGCAAATATTAGACCCGAAATTTCAGCTAAGAAATTCTTTAAAGTTGCTTTATTCGATCCAGTTTTCGCAAATGTTAAAGATGAACTTAAACAGCAATTCCAACCAATTATAGTAGCAAGAATTGCATCAGGTGCTTTATCTCAAGCATTCAAAATTTAATTAAGAAACCATTGTATCAGCAACGAGGTTTAACTTATGATTTAGTTAAGGAATCAGATAAAAGAAAAATTGAGAAATCAGTTGATTATAAGAATGCAATTAATGAATATATTCGGTCTATTAATTTCGATGAAACAGCTAAAAATCAACTTCATGAACAAATACAGGGAATAATAGATTCAAAAGTTCCAGTAAAATAAAAGTTTAAATATATTTTTTTTATTCGATTATAAATGAGAAGACGTTTCACTAGTCAAAAGAACACTAACGCAAAAGCAGAGATTACGGTTGGTTATAACGTAAATGATGATAAATCACGAATTATTCAAAATGTTAAAGTTAATGTTAGCCCCGAATTAACGAGGTCAGCAACTCAACCGAATTTATTAACTCGTGACTTACCGAAAAAGGAAGAGGAGAATGAAGAAAACCATGAGAATGGAGACCCAATCATTTTATCTGAACCTGGTAAAGAACCCGTTGAAATTCCCACTTATCCAACATACCCCCACCTCTTTCATCAAACATCGAGAACCCATATAAAATAGACATTAATTCTGAATTAATGAAAATTTACCGTGATATAATAACTGATAATTATGATTCAATAATAAATTTAATTGACCAATCCGGTTTAATTATTTTACCTTATGAATCATTAATTCACATTATCGCCATTCTTTGTGATGTTCAAGATTCAGACGTTAAGATTCAATTTTTCATAGATGATGAGGTTTCATGCTGCGGAACAGTTGCAAAAATAAATCCTATAAAGGATATTAGCACAATTAAGATATCAAAGAACGGAACAACAACTGAACTTCATTTAACATATAATGATATTTATAATAATAGTTGATGAATATAAAATATCACTTGAAAAATTCTTTGTTAAGGCTATTTAATATTCAAGCATTAACATTAACGAATAATAATCTTTGAATCATAATCAATAATAATTGACCTTTCACCAGTTTCTATCGTTTGTTTATTTCTTTTTGTTTCCCACTATCTGGATTCAGTCATTGTAATTGTTTTTGTTATAGTATCAGCTTTATCTTTAACTTCAATCTTTTTTCCATCGGGATATTTAAACCAAAATTCCAAAAATTCGATATTGTCAATCTGTTCATATTTAATCTATCAATTACATTTTTAATACCATCTGAAAATCTTATGAAATGGTCATTATATGGGTTTGATTGAACTAAATGAAGAAGTGAAATATAACCTGTTGATGAATATGACATCGACTCATATTTTCTGAAAACACTAAAATTTATAACATGAATGAATTTCTTATTCGTTGAATTTATGAATTCTTGAGGTAATCTTATTTAGTTTTATTTATCACTGGAAAATAACGCTTTACCATATTTTTAATCGTAATAAAAATATCAATTATCATATTATTTCGAATAATAACTGTGAATTAAATTTAACAGTTAGTGGAATTTATAATGTTACTCTCGTTTCTGTGAGTGGTAAATTTAATCCCATTCTTTTAGACCCTTCAGATTATATATCATTTATTAAAGATGACCATGAAAAAACGTATGATATGTATATAAATAATGTGATAGCGAAATGGGATATTAACACGATTTTAAGTTATTTTAAATGAATCATTTATCGTATGGTATGAAGAAAATTTTAAATCAAAACCCGATAAACTTTTTGAACTTGATGAAATAAATAACCTTATTAAATTTCCGCTGAAAATTAAATTTTGTACTCCTCATTTTCGTTCATTGTTGGGGATATTAAATTTTGAAAAAGATGTTGGGGATGTTTTGTATTCTGACACTGGTTCCAATTTCATTTTAATCAAATGTGATAAAGTTAATACCCCAATGAGATTTTCACATCAAACATTAGACCCTAACTCTTACCCATCAATACAAAACATTTTATCCATCAACTTAAACACATTTTCTTTATCATATCCGTTTCAATTATCCGGGAATTCATTTATTCTTCATTCAAAAGATTTATCAAATATTAAATTTAGAATAACGGACCTATTTGATTGTGATTTAGAATTCATGAATGAAATATTATGGCAATTTCAAATAGAAAAAATAGCTGATGAGATAACGGATTAAATATTTTTAAATCATAATAAATGATTAAACAACAGCAACCACAACAACTTAAGGCACAAAGCACCCAGGTCCCTCAGACCATTACATACGCCATATATGCATATAATTCAAAGACAGCAGAACAAACACAAAGGTTGAAATATGGAGATTTGGAGATAGTATTGAAAAATGAACATTTCGAATTCGTTTGCAAAGGTGGTGCAGTGATATCAAATATAAAAGAAATTTTATTTATGAATTCAAAAATTAAAGGTATAACGGATGATATAACATCAATTCCACCAGAAGAACAGAGATATTACGCATTAAATGCATTTCCTAAAGTTTTGAAGATTGGAAGATTTAATTTAAATGAGGAATTCATAGAAGGTTTCCTTAATGACATAATGAAGAAGGCAGATAAGGAATATGTGGATAGTGAATTAATGAAGAAAGCAGATAAGGAATATGTTAATGAAAAAGATAATGAAATTAAAGAAAGGGTTGAATGGTATCATGAATGGACATCAAAGATTTTAAAAACTAAAGCCGATACAGGATGGGTTTCAGGATGTTTAGATCTTAAAGCAGATAAAACTTATGTTAACGATGAGTTAAATAAGAAGGCAAATAAGGAATATGTTGATAGTGAATTAATGAAGAAGGCAGATAAGGAATATGTTGATAGTGAGTTAAATAAGAAGGCAGATAAAACTTATGTGGATGAAATATACCAAAGTTTGATAGGAACAACAAAAAATATTGAAACTATTGTTGGGGATGTTTCTATCTATGAAGAAAACAAATATTTTAGATGGGAGTTTGTACACTCCTTAAAAAATGGTACACGGTGTAAACTCATTCCGAAAAATAACAATGAAATGTATGTAAGTTATAAAAAGAATGATGGCACACAAGTTAAAGTTCCATTAGACAACAACTGCTACTTAAACTTATATGGAGACGAACAAAAGAAATATTTAAGAGTTTATGAAATGGCAGATATGGCATTGCCTCACCCAGCTCCAGCACCATATTATTATGACTATGGAGATGACGACAGAACACCACATGTAGATGAACAAAAGCTAACATTATATTTAGATTATTATAGATATAAAAGATATAATGCAATAGAAAAAACGAGAATAGTATATTATTATACAGATGACAGAAATAAATATTATAGTCAAGATTTTACCTACCCTGAAAACATAAGATTATATTATAAAAAATATTCTGACACAAACCAGAAGAAACCTGAAATAGTTGCACTATATTTTAAGTTCAAAAGAGACAATCCTATATTATCTCATATGTTTGATTTAATGAACCCAGTAGGTTCTATTTATACATCTATGGATGCAAGAGGTCCTCAAGTAATGTTTGGTGTTGGTGCATGGGAACAAATAGTTGACAGGTTTTTGTATTGTGCAAACTCTTCAAAGGAAACAGGTGGAAGTAAAACAATTTCAGGTGAAAATTTACCCGCACACAGTCACTACATAGATTTAAGTACATCTCAGGCAGGTTGGCATAAGCATAGATATTGGGATTGGTCAGGAATGACAAAAGGTAAAGGATATGATGTTAAAGACGACGTTAAGTTTGCTATAAATTGTTACTGGAGTGACACTCAGGGAGAAGGAAACCATACACATTTCGTTTCAGGATATACACAAACAACGGGACAAAGTAAAGACTACATGCCACCTTACATGACAGTTTACGCATGGTATAGAGTTCGATGAACGCTCAATGTTTGTGAAACAAACTTTAGGAGCTCCAAAAGAGTGAACGGAATAATTTAAATTTTTATTTTAGTATAAATGAAGATTCTACCATATGGTGTTATTGGAAGAGATAAAGATGGAAACCCAATATTTGATCCAAAGTTAAAATTCAAGTTACTGACAAGACAACAACTTGAAAAGTTGCTGAAACCAAAACAGGATAAAAAATGAGAAAATGAGAAAGAAAAATTTAAATTATGCAATTTTATTTTTATCATAAATGACAAAATTAATTAAGCCAACTATTTCTAAATTAATGATACCAATGAAATCATTTCGTGGAGTAATTATCCCAGGTTCTTCACAATTAGTCAGGGCAGGTGATGTGACTCAAGGTGGAACATTAGCGAATCCATTCAAATTATTAACTAAAGATGAACTTAATAAAACGATGATAAAATAACTGATAACAAAATTTTATTTCACTGCTACTCGGTAATTTAACTTCTCTGAAAAATAGTGACAACATGACATTTTGACAACATAGTGGGATTAATGAGGAAGGCATTTATTCATTATTTTTGAAGAACTGAAGGTGTCACTATGTCACTATGTGTCACTCGGTAATTTAACTTCTCTGAAAAATAGTGACAACATGACATTTTGACAACATGACATGGAAATATATATTTATCGTTCATGTTTACGTTAATGTTTACGTTAATGAGGAAGGCATTTATTCATTATTTTTGAAGAACTGAAGGTGTCACTATGTCACTATGTGTCACTCGGTAATTTAACTTCTCTGAAAAATAGTGACAACATGACATTTTGACAACATAGTGGGATTAATGAGGAAGGCATTTATTATCGTTAATGTTTACGTTAATGTTTACGTTAATGTTTACGTTCATGTTTACGTTCATGTTTACGTTCATGTTTACGTTAATGTTTACGTTAATGTTTACGTTAATGAGGAAGGCACTTATTCATTATTTTTGAAGAACTGAAGGTGTCACTATGTCACTATGTGTCACTCGGTAATTTAACTTCTCTGAAAAATAGTGACAACATGACATTTTGACAACATAGTGGGATTAATGGGGAAGGCATTTATTATCGTTAATGTTTACGTTAATGTTTACGTTAATGTTTACGTTCATGTTTACGTTCATGTTTACGTTAATGTTTACGTTAATGAGGAAGGCATTTATTCATTATTTTTGAAGAACTGAAGGTGTCACTATGTCACTATGTGTCACTCGGTAATTTAACTTCTCTGAAAAATAGTGACAACATGACATTTTGACAACATGACATTTTGACAACATAGTGGGATTAATGCAAAAATAAAGTTAGTTTTAAAATTATTTTTATTTTTTTATTCCTATATAAATGACAGCAACAAACAACAACAGCAACTATATCGTTTCTGATGAAAAAGTTATTGATTCATTAGTTGAGGAATTAGCTGAGGAATTAGTTGTGGCAACAAACAACAACAGCAACTATATCGTTTCTGATGAAAAAGTTATTGATTCATTAGTTGAGGAATTAGTTATGGCAGAAACTAAAACCCTCAACGAAAGAATTGGTGAAAACAAGATTGATTTACATAACTACCTCAAATACGATGGAGGAAGAGGAAGGAAAACTGGTATGGCTTTATTAGTAAATAAAATTTCGAATTTAACGATTATAGATGTTGATATCAATAAATCGTACAATGATGAACTTAAAGAAACAGTTAGAAAAGACATTCTATCAAAACTTTCGGATAAAGATGTTATCGTTAAAACCGCTTCAGGAGGTCTTCACATTTTCGAACAGAATGATTAAATGTTATTCCTGCAATGATTATGATATTGACATAATGACTTCTATGGATGATTCAAAGCGTTCTTTAGTGGTTATGGCTGATTCAAGAGTTCGCAAGAATGCAACAGAACCAATCAAAACATACTCATTCATTCGTGGAAGTTATGATTCAACATTAACTAGAACAGTGAATGATATATTAAATGATTTGAATATTAAGGTAAAAGTTGAACAGAAGAACGAAGAAATAAAGACTATCATGAATGAAAACAAAGATGTAAACATTGACGATAAACTTGCCCAGAGCATAGTTGATGGCATCTGTGATTTTGAAGTACATAATGACGGTGGAAACATGAATTTAGAAAAAGAAATAACATTATTCACACTGTTTCAAGCAATTAATTCGTTACCTAATCATTTGATTAATGAAGCATACGATAACGTTTATAACTTCTGCAATTTAACAGAAAATGCAAAAAGTAATTTTGAAAAAGCACGTAGTAGATATGCACATTTAATGACTTCTCCATTTGTTTTGTGAAGATTCTAAAACTATATCAAAAGGAATATTATGATGAATATGTTTGCCTTTATTACGTAAGCCAAAAATAACATTTGATATAAAACTTGATGACTCGTTTTTGATAACAGATATTAGACGCAAGGCTGAAAATCATCAGTATAAAAACAGTTCTGAAGTAATTGAGGATTTATCACGTGTAATTCGTTTTGTAGATTGTGGAAACAAATACTTCATTCAAAAAGATTACAACATCCACGACAAAATGAATCAAATATCATTCGTTCTTCAGTCAAACATGAAAGAGTCACTTAAAATGATTAAATTATTTAAAGAAGAAGGTAAAACAATAACAGCATGGGACGTACTACTAAATCAATTGTCTTCATTAACAGTTGAGGGTGTTTGCTTTAAATCTGATTCCCCTGATGTTTTCTCAACGTTTCAGGGTTATAAATACAACATTCTCGAAAAGCTTGATTACTCAAAAATTGAGATGTTTATGAATTTCATTAAAGAAGCCATTTGTGATAATAACAATGAAGTGTATAAATACCTACTCGGCTGGATTGCATCAATGATTCAACATCCTGGAATCAAGAATGAAACAGCAATTATTTTGAAAGGACTTCAGGGAACAGGTAAAAACAGATTCACTGACATTATTTCTGAACTTCTTGCCGGTTATTCATGCAAAAACATTACTGAAATAAGTGAGTTAACGGGTAATTTTAATTCAGTAGTTGAGAATAAAATGTTTCTTGTACTTAATGAACTCAAGAATGTTGGTGAAGACAGACTCGCAAACTTCAACGCTTTGAAATCAATTATAACGGATAATGAGATTAGAATTAATGAAAAGAATCAACCCAGAAGAACTGCTCAGAATGTTGCAAACTTCATTTTCGTAACTAATAACGTCTACCCTGTCAAAATTGAAGTTGGAGACAGAAGATATGTAGTTTTAAGAGTTAATGGTAAATTTAAGGGTCAATTTGATTACTTCAAGGATTTGATGAATTCATGCACAAAGGAATTTTATGATAACCTTTTAACATATTTTATGCAATATGACCTTTCATCATTTAATGTACGAATCATTCCGATGACTGAAGCCAAACAAGATTTAATTGAATTATCATCAAATCCTTTAGATGTATGGATAAATACACATTATGATGAATTGTGTGCAGGTATGACGTGTAAAAATGCTTTATTCTGCAAACCATCAGACATGAAAGACAAGAATTTTCAAATGAGCATTAAAGATAAATGTGATAAGAAACAGAGAAGAATAGATGGTAAACAGACATGGTATTATGTTTTGAAAGAAGAAATGAAAGGATTATATAAACAGGTTGAACCAAACGATAATGAGGATTCATTTACTGACGATGAAATACCTGTAAATGAAGCTTTATAAAGTATGATTTGAATTTATTTTTGCATTAATCCCACTATGTTGTCAAAATGTCATGTTGTCACTATTTTTCAGAGAAGTTAAATTACCGAGTGACACATAGTGACATAGTGACACCTTCAGTTCTTCAAAAATAATGAATAAGTGCCTTCCTCATTAATCCCACTATGTTGTCAAAATGTCATGTTGTCAAAATGTCATGTTGTCACTATTTTTCAGAGAAGTTAAATTACCGAGTGACACATAGTGACATAGTGACACCTTCAGTTCTTCAAAAATAATGAATAAGTGCCTTCCTCATTAATCCCACTATGTTGTCAAAATGTCATGTTGTCAAAATGTCATGTTGTCACTATTTTTCAGAGAAGTTAAATTACCGAGTGACACATAGTGACATAGTGACACCTTCAGTTCTTCAAAAATAATGAATAAGTGCCTTCCTCATTAATCCCACTATGTTGTCAAAATGTCATGTTGTCAAAATGTCATGTTGTCACTATTTTTCAGAGAAGTTAAATTACCGAGTGACACATAGTGACATAGTGACACCTTCAGTTCTTCAAAAATAATTCATTAGTTAGAAAACCATTGACGCTAATTTTATTTTTATATCTTTTTTTGTTTTGTATGTAAAGACAGTAATGACAAACATTGAGTTTGAAACAGTTAGAAAGATAGACGATGACACCAAAGTGGTTAGAATAGGTGATTTAAACGTAAGATACTCAAAGAAATACAACAAATATTCTTTGTCAGACATTATATCTCCATCTGAAAAGAAAACAAACGACTGGGTTAGAAATGCTTCAACTCAGAAAATTTTGACAAGAAATCCTGAGCTTATGATATCAGTAGCATTTCATGGAACAAGAGCATATCTTATAGACAAAAGTCTTATACCAATAGTTTTGTTATGGTTAGACCCAGTTGTTGGATATAACTTCATAACTTATGGTTCATTCGACTCAGAACGTTGCAGTGAAGGCTTACTTTACATCGTTCAGAAACCGAAGGACTTCAACACAAAAGATATAAGATAGGAAGGACATATAATATAACTCAAAGATATGACAGTACAGTCAATAGAGTCAAGGTTGTGTTTGTTAATGATATGAGAGCTGCTGAAACAGAACTGCTTGAAGTTTTTGAGAAAATGTATGGTGCTCCCACGAAAGGTAAAGAAATTTGAAGTAGATGAGATAGATAAAGCTATAAAATTATTTGACGAAGTTGCTGAAAAATACATGTAAAGCGTTTATTTTTGTCTTTTGTGAAAGTCAGAAAATAAAGTTAGTTTTATTTATTTTGTATGTAAAGACAGTAATGTCAACATCAGAGAACACAACAACTACTATCGTTCATGAAGCCATAAATGAAGAATACGAGTACATACAGTATAACAAACAACTTCGCCTCATTCGTTCGGTCAAAGATGACGTGTACCAAAGAAAAATAAAAATTAAATTTGGATTGAGTTTAAAAATTCATCTTTATTAAATTCATCTCTTCCAATCAATTTATTTATTCTATTAAATTCTTTTATTTTTGCCTCACTCAGTTTAAGGATTGAACGGTAAGTTTTTAATTTTTCGATTATTTCTTTCCTCTCTTGATCGTTTTCAACCTCACCACATTGTGGCTTCTTTTTGTAATAGCATATTTTTGATTTAATTCTGTTTAGTTTCTTTTTATATTCATCGTCTGGACTCTTGGCTGCTTCGTTGTCACTCATTTCTTACGAAATAAAAAAATTAAATATTATTTAAATATAATGGAGTAATAAAATAAATCGGAATTTCTATTAATTTATTGTCAACTTCAACTAATACATTACCGTTAATATATCTAACAAATTCAGCTATTGTGTCAAATCTTCGTCTTCTTTTTGTCATTGATTTATCAGTTTTTCCATAATCGAGATGAATCAAAACTTTATCCCCTTGTTTAAAATTCATGAGCCCCGAATTAATTTGTTCACGTTTAACATCATTCAACCTTTCCATTTGCTTTCTAATATATTCCCATTCTTTTGAAATATCATTTTTCATTTCCACTGGTTTCATGTTTATAGTTCTATGCCATGTATTATTGTAATAATATACTAACTGCTGTATGATGGAGTCATGATTTCCATCGCCAGTATATCTGACCGTTAACCCCTAACGCATCTCTAAGAGTTCTCATTACCGCATCAACTATTTTATTATGAAACGTATATGGAGAGGATGAAAAGTAAAAATTAATTTGTGGGAAATAATGAGCCATAGCTGCCTGAAATCCTTTATCACTATCACCCCTGATATTATCTACTCTTTCATGATCTAGTAAGTATTGAATAGCTCTTCTTGTTTCCTGTTCTATTTTCCCTTCACCGGAATGCAATATAAATATCTTGTGTTAATGTTAATGGCAAATAAATAAGTAACGTTTCCTTTTGAATATTCTAAATGATCGATTTCGTATGAATATGGATATGGTGCAAATGAGGGCGACTAAATTTTTCCTTTAACGGTTGAATTTTTGGGTCAGTTGGTTTATTTAATATCTTGAAACCCTTTTTAAAATCTTTTTGTTTCTTTAATGTTTGAAATGGATATAATAAAGTGAATGATGAAGGATTAACTGAAGGAGGAGGTACTACTGCTGGAGGTTTTGGTGTTGTGAGTGGTTTAATTTTATCTGCTTTGATTTTGGATGATGAAGTTTTGGAATTCATTCCCTCCTTCATTAATTCCGGATGTATTTTATTCATTTGTTTTAAATATGCTGTATATAAAGGTTTGATATACTTTCCTGCTTCGAGTTTATGTTGAAGGATGAATTCCAAAAGTTGATCTTTATTTAAAAGTTGGGCTGAATGTGGTTTAACTAATGAATCATAAATTAAAGCTTGTGCATCATTTTTGGTCTGAAGGACCCGGGCGTTTTGTTTCTTTGTTTTTTGTGGCTCAGGATTATATAATTTATATAATTCATCAATATCTTCTTCTGTTAATACTTCATTTTTGAAATCTTTCAAATGTTTAAGTTGTGATTTAGTTTTTTCCTTTGTATATTCATTATTTTTAATTTTATCTTTAATTTTAGAAATTATTTCATTATGATATTTCAAAAATTCATTATCATAATATGAATAATAATAATCTATATCATCATCCGTTATATTTTCATCATATTTTTGGAGATATGCTTTTAAATCATAATAACTAAGAAAATTTTGATCACGTACTAAATCATCAATTAAATTTTCTAAATCTACGTTATCCATTTATATAAAAATAAAATAAATGTTTTAAGGGTGCCCACCTCTTTGATCAAGAATCAAAACCATCATTCAACGGTTCCTTTTGTCTCTTCTGTGGCATTTCATTAAATAAATGGCATACAACATCCATTTTCACAACATACAGCCTTAGTGTGTGCTCCTGTTAATGCAGTCTTACCGATTGTTAAGCGAGTCATTGACCTGTTTTTAAGTTGTACCTTAATATTCTGACCATCAAATATCACTTTATCATTTATTATATCCAAATAATTTTTAGGTGTTAATTGTTTATTTTGTCGTAAACTAACTCCTTTCATTTTTTGTGCAATCTTTTTAAAATCACTTCCATCAATTGAACCGTTGAATGATGTATAACACTTAGGGCATAAAGCAACCATGTTATCGCCTTGTTTCTCAATTGCTAAACCCAATAATTTTTTCTCATGTGCTTTTTCTTCAGCTTTATTCTTTAATTTAGGTTTAAATTTCTCATCAAAACAAAAGAAATCAAAAGGTGCGAATTTGTAAATGTTTTTATCATAAAATTGTTTATCGGTTACAATCGCCTGAAATGCTTGAGTGTTAGGAAGATTTGGATCACCAGCGATTGCCCAATAAGATGAATCAGTATCACCTTCAATGAAATGAAAACGATTAACATCCATGCATTTATACATAAAATCATAAATGAAAACCAAATACCAGTATTTAGCATTATCTAAAGTGAAGAATGCCTCTTGTAAACATGTTTCACATCTATAAAATCTATCTTTGAGCATCATTTGATATGTATCTTCACCTATTTCTCTTATGTTTTTAAACTTATTTGCCATACATGCAACGCGTGCCTTCTGTGCATTCATTATTTTAGTCTTTGTGTAATTTTGTGTATTCATTGCATCGTAACCATATGATCCATTAAGTGAAATCTTGCAAAATAAACTTTTTCCTTTATTTCCTTCTAATTCAGCCTTTTGTCTTTCGTTCATAAATTTGTTCGCAAATTCATTAAAACAAGTGTTTTTCGTAAATGTTAAAATTGATTGAATGTCATCGATGATAAAATGAAATCTGTCGATTAGATACCAAAGATAATAAGAAGAAAATGGTTGATATTGGTTGTGTGTTGATGCTAACTGAGTTAATTTTCTCTGTTTCTGGTCAACTGGTAGATTGTTTGATTTCATGTAATTATACATAAAACCACCAATTGTTTTTTCATCTGTGATAATATCTAAGTTTCTTATTATCGGTAAAAAGTTTATGTAATCATTAATGTATTTTTCATCAATGTGACCCTTTACTTCAGCCACGAATAAAGTATTTTTCTTCTTAATTATTCCCAGTGCTTTTGCTTTCTTTGTTGCTGTATCACAAATGATAACACCATTCAATCTTCCTGGCATATACATTTTATGGTCAGTATATTGAATGAAATCATGAGGATTAGATGAAAATGATGAAGGATATAATGAATTAAAATCAACACCAACGAAATGAGTCATGATGTTGGTAGTGTCCTCATTTGATGCAGTTTTAGTTTCTGGACTATATGAAAGTTTATTAATGTGAGTGATTCCTTTAAGATTTACTCTATGTTGAACATTTGATAACCCACCAGTAATTCCATTACGGAGAATGTGATAAGCTTCAACTGAATCTAAAGTCATTGGTAAATTATTTTTTAATGCATAATTTCTTAAATTGATTCTTAAACGTTGAACATCTTCATCTTTATTTGATTTTACGACATTACAATAACAACACATTAACTGACAATTTTCTTTGGTATGTGGTTTTTCATTATCGATTCTATCCAATGTTGGTTTATTTGCATATGTAAACGCTTTACCACACATTTTGCATTTAGATGAAAGGATTAAATCGTGATAGTATTGAAAATCATCCATTGAAACATTATTTTTAGTATCCCTTTCTGCTTTTTCATCTTGTTTCTTATATGATTCAATTTTATATTTCCAATACTTTTTCGTTAATTCAAAACTTGATTCTATCTCTTCCTCGGGATATTTTTCATTAGGATTAAAGTCTTTATATGCTAAAGCGTAACGAATCATTGAAGCATTCGATGATAAAGAAAGATTATGAAGCATGTCAATTTTATAAACAAATGTTTCTTCAATAATTTTATCAATTGGGTCAATCATAATTTCAACATCTTTATTGCAATAATGAATAAAATATTCTAATCTATTCTTAAAATTTTTAGCATCATTGAGATATATTTGATAATCACTATCTGATATAGTTTCTTGGGTTAATGCTGAATAAAATGAATCTTTCGTGAATGGTTCCACTTTATATAATTCTTCTTCGTAATTTTCCCATGTGATGAATTGATAAGGGAAAAAGGATTTAACACGTGATTTATTGTTTCCGAAATCTTGAGTGAATTGGTCTAATGTCCCACCCGCTATATAATTTCTGATGTCAATAAATCTCAATTCATATGGAACGTTTGTTTTCTTTACAATGATTTGCTTAAATTGTGAAGATGAACCCAGCATTGATTTTATTTTCCATTTTGCAGTGTTTAAATCACGAAGAATTAAATTTAAATCAAACTTTTCCGAATTAAAACCTATAATATTCACATTATTGAATTCCTCATCTAGAAGTTCTTTAAATGCTTTCTTCTGTTTTTCATTTAATGTATGGGACTTCATTAATTCTTCATATTGTTCAATATTTGATTCAACAACTAATGAACAGGTTGAAAATAAAAACTCAATCCAATCAGAAATAAAAGAATCACTCGAAGTTAAGCAAAAATTCCTCATATATGTTTTATCATTTAATTTAACCATTGATGATACCATGAATGGTTTTAAGTAAGCGTTCAAAGTTGCACACTCAGAAAGTTGTAATTCTTCTTTAGTCTCTAATGTTTCGAAGTCAAAAGTAATATAATATCTTGTCGGTTGATAATATTTCTGCAAATTGTGAGCTAATAACCACTGATATATCTTCTGTTTCGTAATATGTGGTGCATATGGTTGCTGTGTCTTTTGCAACTGAACGTCTTGAATTAATCTTCCATTATTTTCTTTACATTTCTCACAATGCTTTAAAAATCTTCTTTGGTTTTTCCTTTCTGGATCATCACGGATAGAATAAACTTCTGCTTTACAATATGGACAAACTCTATAGCCGGTGAGTGCTTCAACATCTGTTATTCTGTCAGCGTGAAGTTTTCCACATGGACTCTGTGTTAATAAAATATTTACTGTTTCAAATTCTGGATCTATCATTATTGATTCCACTAATGGAAAGTCTACCTTATTTATGTCCACGTCTTCTGGTTGAGGATCACAATAATAAAAATCAATATTAACGTTTAACATTCTCGCTAATCTCTCACTTTCTGATGAAATGTCAAACCCTTCATATGCATCTATTGCTTCATTTAAATAGCTTCTACGAGTTTTAGGATTAACACCATCAGGAATGTTATAGAAGCGTTTAAATAACCTTCTACCTTCTGCTCTAATTTGATTATCATTCATTTTAGCTGTTCCGTTTTTGTTCATTTATGTAAGAAAAAAAATTAAATAAATAAACTTTATTTATTTAAAGTCCGAGACTCAGAGAGTCCAGGGCTAAAGTCCGAGACTCAGAGAGTCCAGGGCTAAAGTCCGAGACTCAGAGAGTCCAGGGCTAAAGCCCATAAAATGAATTAAGAACACATAAATTTTTATCATCTGCGACGTGACGAATACATTTTAATTTACTCAAGAATGTGTACCCTGATACATTAAATCTAATTCCTGTCTTATTTAATTTCACAACTTTGAAAAGGAATGTATGAATAGCTATAAAATGATGAGAAGATGTTTTATGGGTTGCTTCCATTTTTTCTGAAATAAATGAATAAATATAATGCTTATACGTTTTCATATCTTTTATGTTCTTAATAACGAATGGTATAGACCTTTCCACTTCGTCTTCCTTCGGTGCTGTTCTTTCATATGAAACATTATTGGTATCTTCAATAATGAAACCACAATCACACAAAATTTTATAGGTTCCAATGGTTTCTTTTGATATTTTATTTAATAAATCAAAAACTTTATCAACACCTGTGCATTTATTTAAATAATAATTTGTGTAAATATCATGATCTTCTTTCTTAATCGTATTAGTTGCATATGTCATGTTTTTAAGAGCTTTTTTGAATTTTTCGGAATCTAAAGGTGGTGAAAGTAAGATACAAGGGTATTCTTCACTATCAATAAATTGTAACTTATGTTTACGAATAAATTTAGTACCTTCTTCTGAAAGTGTTTCGTCTATTTCACCATCTAATAAATTTTGTGTTGATTCTGAGACATAATTTTTATATCTTTCTTCATGAGATTTCTGGACTGCTGATTCTGAAGCTGGGATATTCATTAAACCCTCTACTTCATTTTCATTATATTTTTCAACTTCTCTTAATTCCTTAATTTTTTCATCTATTTCATCTCTTATTTTTTCCAGTCTTTCAATTTCATCATATTCATCATCTTTAATTCGTTCTTCATAATATTCAGGGAAAACATCAGGTTCTTTAGGTTTTTCTTTTTTAGATGCGGGATATAAGAAATTTATAACATCATCTTTATTCATTTTTCCATCATAACCAAACTCATTTAAAAACTCCGTGAATTTTTGACAATTTCTTAAATAATATTTATCAACTTCATAACCTGCCTCCTCTAATATATCCTTTATTTCCTCATTTGTGAATCCTAATTTTTTAACGTTGTTAGTTTTGACGCTCATTTCATACAAAATAAAAATAATCATTAGTTTCTAATTTCTTTTTCTCATTTATGACTCCATTGATTATGACATCATTGATTCCATTCAGGATTTAAACAATGTTTAATTAATCGCGGAATATCTGACATCATCTATATATAGCTTCTTTTATAAAAGATAAAAAATAAATTATTTTAAAATTAATGTTAATTTTTTTTAATGTGTTTATGTTTGGGCTGAGTGTAAATGTCTTACAATTTTGAAAATTTTTTAAATCTTGATTTATTCAAAAACGTAAGAATAAAAACCGTAAGAATCATACATTTTTTACTTCATATGTTAAAAAAAATGATACAAAATCGTTCTATATTGTATGAATTCTTACATTTACAACAAAAGTCACACAACCCTCCATATATACTACTAGCAAAACACGTATCTATTAAATTCGTCCAAGATGCAATCAGTGATGAGATCTGGAACTACTTATCAAATTTGCACAAAATCAATGTATGAGAATAAATAACAGGGATGATCGCGAAAAGAATTTTCTACGTAAAAATTATGTGTTTTTCTAAAAAATAACTCTTCTTTATAAAAACATTAACATCTTTTATAAAAATCCAAGATTTTTTATAAACTGATGACATTTTCTATAAAAATTTGACTTTTTCTAGAAAAGGTTTATATTTTCTATATATGATTTGACTTTTTCTATAAACATATTTTGCATATACTTAGTTAATGTTTTATGCGGAATCAACATATTCCAAGCTTTAACATTTTCTATAAGTTCATCTTGAACTATAAATTATTAGTATTTTTATAAAAATCTATCATTTTCTAAAAATATTTACATTTTTTAGAAAATATCAACATTTTCTAGAAAATGTTTAATTTCTAGAAAAACTTTTCTTTCTAGAAAAACATTATATTTTTTAGAAATATACATAATTTTTATGATTAAAATTCTTTCCGCGATCATCCCTAACATATAAATATCAATTGCTTCCCATACTTTTCTATTAGCATGGCCATGGCATACTCATATCATCTGATTTTTCACAGAGGGCTGGCTGATCAAGATTTCTCATTGATCAGATGTTCATATTTCGTTGAAATAATATATTTTGAATATATTACTCACTTTTCCGGTTTGATTGAAAAATCAAACAGTCAAAGTGAGTAATTTATTAAAATATATAATACTCACTTTTTCCTACACTTTTAGTTCCGGGAAAAGTGACTTTACTTACGCCTTTAGTCTCGCAGTTTAGTTGTTTGATTCTTTTTCGGGCTTATTTATAAGCCAGTAAAAAGGGTCGCAGATATTTAAGGGGCGCCTCTACTAGCATCTTTTACAGGCGTAAATTACCAATCTTGTTCTAATTTTGTATGAATATTTTCAGCTTTGCATTAGATTTTCGAGACTCAGATCGAGTGATGATATACACTATTAAATATATGAATCATAATTGCTTTGGAGATGAAGTGAAGTGATTTAGTAGACTCGGCCCTTAAATATGATTATGAGTCTATATCTTTATTATTGAAAAAAACTCAACATCTCACATCTAGAAGTCTTAATGGAGATCACTAGCTTAGATTTTTGAAAATACCATATTATTGAGTATATATATAACTTAATATTGATCGACAAAATTTTGTTTTTATTCAATTTCTTGGGCAAGTATTAAAAATTGAATAGTTGTAAATTAAGGCAGTGATCCCTTGACGATCTCGTTTCGAGAAATAACACCTGGGATCTTGCCAATTTTGTAAGCTTCGTTGAAAAGAGATTTTAGAATTTGAAGACCTTTTATTCCTATGTTAGTTAACAAAATATCTCGTAGATTACTTTTTCTTTATCGCCTTCTGTTTGATAGACGCTTAGTAACAATATTAAGTCTTTCACTAAATTTGGGTTTTATTTCAATGAAACAAAAATCTGTGTATAAATGAGAATAATCAGTAAAATCATTCAATTTGGAATTTTGTGCTGGACTTTTAAATGTAACGCTCCCTCCATAATGGACCGAGCTAGATTGAACATATGAATTTGAAATAGTTAATATATAACCATTTTCATATCTTAGGCTGTTAAGAAACATGTAAGATGCAGTATTTTGAAAAAATATACAGTGATCAACATTAGTTGTGTACACACTAACAAATAAAACTTTGGAATAGTCTGGTAGGCACTTATTTTCAATAACATTGCAATAAGAAACTGTTTGTGTTAAGGGTGCACCCGCATGTACGTTTATTTGAGAGGAGGAGGATTACCCTCTCAATTTTGAAAGCTTCGTTAACTTAATATCTCGATGAATATTGGATTAAAATTGAATTTGCCCATACCAATATATCTGATACAATATCCTTAAGTTTTACTAAAAAGAATTTTTTAAAATCCCTGCAGATTCGGGGATTTTTAAATTTTTTGATTTTTTTCGAAAATTTTTCGGAAAAAAAATATTTTCAGAAGAGCCTTAACGGCTAAGTTTTATGTTTAATGTTGAGTATCAAAAAGAATGGGCATCTGATATAGCCATCATATATCCCAGAAGCAAATAAAAATTCTGACTTTTTAAGCATAAAAAATGAAATTTTATTTTTTGCAAAAAACAGGCCACCCGGATGTACGTTTATTTGAGAGGAGGAGGATTAAATTTTTGAAAGCACTAAAATTTGTAAATATGCTAGTTATATAATAATATGCATTATTTTAAAAAATAAAAATTAAAGCACGTTAAAATCTTTTTTGATGAATTTTTACAAAAGCTACTCAGGATAATGCAAGATATGAGTAGTTAAACATAAATTTCAAATCAGATTTTACTTATAATAAATATTTTAAATTTCTGAAAATTAAGTTCAGATCGACTCTATACGTAGTAAATACTAAATAAGGTGCCAAAAACCTATTAAACAGTATCAAAACTATCAAGATTGTAATGTTTTTGAAGAAAAATTTATAGAATTATGGACTTCAAACAGATATTATGTAAATAAAAATAATATAATGAATTTATTTATTCGTATAATAGCAGTAATAAGTCGATTATTCACTTCTACTTCTGAGATTTGAATTTAATTTCGACAGAAAAAGAGATTCAAGAGGAAAATACTAGGGGATACAAACAGCCACCATGACAGGATTATTATGGAGCCAAGTTGTACTTTTTGATATTTTTAGAGTTTTCCTACCTATTTAGGTACCAAGTTATTGCTTAAAAATTAAGGTTCTAAATTCTGAAGTTTACATGATACTCCCGGGCGCACCCTTAATGGACTATCATTAATCCAAAATTCAAGTGAATAAGTTTCAGTTTGGATGTTTCCTCTGAATGTTGAGAAATTACATGTACCTGAACTTCCATCAAGGACACTACTATATGATGAATATTGACTGCATTTATTGTTTGTGCTATTGATATTGGAAATAATTATATCACCCCATGCAATACCAAATGTATAACTTCCTGTTGATTCACTTTCTCCGCAATTAGAAACAGAAACATCAATTGCGTAGTTTTTATATGAAGAATTAGATTTAGTCCATTGTCTAAATGCCATGTAACTGTCTGCTATTGATTTATAATAGGCTGTTCGTTGTTGTACAAATTGTCCTTCTTGTTTGCAGTAATAGAGAACAGATCCACCACCAACATTTGAAGTGGAACTACAACTGTCAAATATAGATTTTTCGAGTAATGTGGAAATGCTGTTACTTCTTAGGATGTAAATTGCACCATTTTCTTTGCATTCTTTAAATAAGCAATTGGTAATGTAATAACTTTTAGAACTTGTTGTATCTGAGAATGATGCTCCATTATTTATTTGTACAAGTTTGGAATTATGATCAAAATATTGGTACCAGCAGAATCGAAGCTGTGCTTTAGTTCTTGAGATCAGTTTCTAAATGTATGAACGGTTTATTAAAAAATGCATGTGATGATGGAAAAATGATGTTAAGTCTTGTTCCAAGAAAAAAAATGTTATAATGAAAATTGTCAAAAAATGCCATTAAGGTCGAAGAAAAAAATTTTTTGGCGACCTTATAACAAGTATTGACAATTTTCATTATTTATATATATGTTTATAGGAAAAAAGTTTTTTTTTGGGTCAATAAAATTAAAAAATAATGATAAATATAGTATTGACATACATCATAGAATATCTCAAGGGACTTTAATTTTTGTCATTTTAGAGAAGCCTTAATGAAATGTGATATGAAATTGTGAGAACCTCATAGAATATTTTGACTACTTTATCTTAATTTTAACTAGTAAATTATTTTTTAATTTACTTTGTTGTCAAGCAAACGCCACGAAGGACCCAATGAATAGCGAAAAGCTTTGGATCAGCTGTCTGAAGTGGGATAGAAATGATATAGTTAAGATCAGTACGCTGAGAGCTCTTGTAGATAGGAGCCATGTAAGTTCTATCCTTAGAAAGTGGGATGACTGGTGGTGGTTTAGCCTTTGGATCTCTTTGTGAAGTGCCTAACTTGATGAGTGGCATTTCGTTTCTGAGATCTGTAACGAGCTTCTGGGACTTGCCCTTTCCTGTGACTGAAACAAGTTCAGCCAAACCGTATGTTGTGTTAGAATTAGCGCCGACTGTCTTGATCCATCTAGCGCCTTCGAGCCAGAATCCGCGGCAGTAGACAGAGACAATTGTTGGGCCATTGACTGGCTTGTCGTTGTCTCCCTTTGTAGAGCGTCCACCGAGTGGCTGGACTTCTGAATCGAGTGATGTCTGGTCGAGCTGCCAGCCAGCGTTGGCACGGACTGTTTCCTGTCTGAGTGATGTGACGAAGCCACCTGGGTTGAACATACCACCGAGCCAGAATGTATCCATCTTTGTGCCCTGTTGGATCCATGTGTTGTACTGCTGGTATCTGGCCTTGACTTCGTCGAACCAGCCCTTGAGTGTATCAGCTGGCCATGAGATTCTGAGCCAGTGTCTTGGGATACGGCCATCGAACAATGAGTTCATAGAGCCGTACAACTGATCGTTCATGACGATTGTACCATCGATAGCAGCCATGAGATCTGTGAGTGTTGATCTAAGAACCTTGAGAACGTTCTGCATACGCTCTATCTCCTGCTTGGCGCAGACGTAGAGTGGCTTGGAACCATTGTCTACGACAGTCTTTCTGACTTGTTCCATGTTGAAGTTCTCTGGAACTTGTGGCAACAATTCCTGGCAGCGCTTCATGACGACGTCTTCACGTGTCATGCCGCCGACAGAGGACTCCTTTGGCTGGATATCGATGATCTTCTGGAAGATCTCGTCTGCCTGGTCACGTCTGAGCTTGACATCAGCGATTGCGTTGAGGCCGAATACCTCTGGAGGATCGTTCTGTGGCAAGTTCTTGATGGCGTCGAGGAACTGGTTGACGTTGATGCAGTCGAGAATTGGGTACTTGCCGACTTCCTTTGGATCAGCACCACTGACATCGAAGTACTTCTGGGCACCTGGAACGTTATCGAAGACACGTTCGTTGTTGAAGTAGTTCTCACCAATGGCGTTGATGAGTCTGCGGTCGAGTTCATCTGTGACACGTCCACCGTAGTGGATTTCGCAGATGCCGTAGCGGACTGTCTGCCAGAAGGACTGCTGGAAGACGTTCGGGTTGGTGTTCGGGTTCGGGGAGACTCTCTGTGCGTCGACAATCTGGGCTGAGCAGAAAGCGAGTGAAGCTGTGAAGTCGGAGTGGTTGAATTCGTATGGAATGCACCATCCGAGTGGTCCGAATTTACGACGTTCCTGAACTGTTGTGTTGAAGAATGCAAGAACGTAGATGAGTCTACGCCATTCGGAGACTTCGAGCTGCTCGATTGTCTGCTGGTTGAGAGAAAGGATTGTTCTCTTGAGGTTGGCCTTTGCACCGGCTGGTGGCTCGTTTGTGAGCTTGATGGAGAGCTGAAGGAGGTTGACTGGGAATCTTGGATTTGGCTCTGTTGTGATCCAGAGTCTGTAATCTGGGTGGACTGACTTGACCTTCTCCTTCTCTGGCTTCTTCTGCTCGCCTTCCTTGGCTGGAGCGGCTGCAGCACCGGCATCTTTGGCCTCTTCCTTCTTCTCTTGAGCGTTGGCAGTGTTGGCAATGTCTGTCTTGTACATTTCGAACAAGGCAGCCATGTACTTGAGACCAAGGTGGCAGTTCTGGAGAAGAACCCACTCACCCTTGTGCTTGGCGTTCTGGATAGCTGCTTCAGCGATTTCTTCACGGCCCTGACCCATGGAGATGGAGCTGATTGGGATCTTAGCCTTCTTAGCTGCTTCTTCGACAAGTGGTGTTGGATCGGAACCTGCAGAAAGCAAGTAGATGACTGGAGACTGGTTGCCTGCTTCTGCGGAGATGACATCGAGTGATGGCATTGTGTATTCGAGGAATTCCTTGCCAAGGACTTCTCCGATGTACTTGTTTGCAGCGAAGATAGCTCTATCTGGTCTGATACATCTGATGATGACTGCGTTGTGGAATGGTGTCATGTTCTCGCAGATGTGTGGTGGCTCCATGTTTTCTGGTGCCTGAGATTCCATGAGTTCCTTCCACTTTGGAACTTGGTCTGTGATCTCTGTGAAGTGTCCCTTGAACAATGAGATCTGTGACAAGGCCAAGACGTTTTCTTTGACCTGTGAGAAGATGTCTGGTAACTGGACATCGCCCATCTTGTCACCGCCAGAGAAAGCAGCGCCACCCTTGAGGAAGATCTGATAATCGTTGAAGTCGAAGACGTTCAATGACAACTGGATCTTGAGGGCTAATTGGAGTGTGAACAAGAGCTTATCCTTTTCGTAGAGACCACGGACGATGTATGTGAAGCAGAGGTATGTCAATGTTTGGATGATGTTTGCGATACGTGTCTGTGTCATTGGATCCGGAGGAGCTTCTTCAATGGCCTGGAAGAACTTTCCTAAGAACTGGTTAAGAGAAATCTGGTACATGTAGTTGACGTTTGCGAGATCTTGGATCAAGAAGTAGATGACAGCACCACGAAGAGCGACTGGCATGTACTCCTTACGTGAGTTTTCGATCTTCTGGTTGGTTGTCATAGCCTCGTTAAGAGACTCTGTGTTCTCCTTGGATGTGACTTTTGTGGAGTTAAGTGTTGTGATAAGGGATGTGTTCTCCAAGAGATCGCCCTTTGATGATCTGAGCAAATCGAGAAGCTTGTTTTCGAGATCGACGAGTGATGCCTTGAGGGCAGCGACCTTTGCGAGAAGACGCTGTCTGTCGATTTCGAGGGACTCCTTTTCTCTGAGAATAACGAGGTTGAGAAGCTGTTCCTGAAGACCGTTCTGTGTGACGGAGAATTCGATGACAGAGCACTTTGCGAATGTTTCTGGCGAGAACTTCGGGTTGGCGAGCTTAGTTGTGAAGTAGAGTGTGAAGCCCTGGTAGACTTCGACATCCTTACCACCAACACTGACGTTGATGGAACGACCAACCTTCATGTAGTTCTTTGCGAGAATGTTATCGAGAATTGGATCAATTTCTTCACCGCAATCTTCAATGAGAAGTGGGCGACCTGACTGCAAAGCGTTTTCTAAGTGTGTTCTGAAGTATTTGTCTTCGAATGATGTGACAATAAGGTCCTGCTTGTGTCTGTTCATAATCCAACTGTGTGCCTGACCCTGTGGATCGATAAGCAGTGGATATGTTGGAGCGTTTGTTGAAATGACACCGTTCTGTCTTGAAAGTTCATCTGATGGCAAACCTTGGAGCTGCCATGTATCGAGTGTTGCTTCTGTAACGAACAGCGAGATGATATCGATCTGTCCTTGAGACGGGATCTGGTTCGAAGCTAGGATGTTCGGCCATGCCTCGTTCAAGAAGTGCTGTCTCATGACGTGGTTGAACATACCGCAGTATGAGTTGAAGGCAGCACCGATTGTTGCGTTACCGACTGTCTTGAGAATGGACTCTTGGAGCATGGAAGCTTGTGTCTCCCAACGGCTCTTTTCGTTGGAAAGAGCGTCGATAAGAGTCTGAGCGTCCTTGAGCTTCTTTTCTGTTGCCTGGGCACGCATTGTGCACTCGTTCTGCTTGCCGAGAGCTGCATCGTAGTTGCGCTGGAGTTCATCAAGTGCGCGCTGCTTTTCAGCAAGAGCGTCTTCGAGAACCTTGAGAGCTGCTTCGGCCTTGTTGAGGGATGCTGTAGCCTGATCCAACTGAAGCTTGAGTGGTCTAACACCCTTTTCGACTGCATGGTACTTGCAAACGTTGATAACCCATGAGCAGATACCACCTGCAGCTGTGGAAGCCTTCTTAGCGACTGTTGGATTGAAGATTGGGCATGTTAAGTATGGCTGGAGAAGATCGATCTGTTCGTCGTTGATCTGATCCTTTGGATAGTTGACAAGTGTCTGAAGAAGTGTTGTTGATTTACGGTAGTTGTTACCGTATTCGAGAGATGGAGTCATGAACTGGAATGTGCCATCCTTTGTGGACAACTCTTCTGGTGTGTATGGGAGAATCTTGTCGTACAAAAGGATACAAACTGCATCGAACACCAACATGATGACTGCACCAATCTGTGCGTAACCCTTAAGTTCGTTCATATCACCTGATGTGAGGGACTGAAGGGCCTTTTCTGCTTCGATCTTAGCTGGCATAGCATCTTGTAACTTGGCGTTAGCGTCTTCTTGCATGACAGCAATCTTGTTCTTCTCGACTTCCTGTGCATCCTTCTGTGTCTGGACTTCTGCAGCTTGTGTTTCTGCTTCAGCTCTCTTGACAGTAACGACATCAAGAATCTGCTGTGCTTCAGCGGACTTCTGGGCGACAACTGCCTTTTCTTCGCTGAGTTTGGACTTCATGTTAGCGACAGAAACCTTAGCATCTTCGATCTTCTGGAGACCTTCCTTCATACGGTTTGCATCATCCTGAATCTTCTCGAGCTGTGTCTGATACAATGTCTTGAATGAAGAAAGGAATGAAAGGTAGGACTTTGGAGTAACGAATGTACGACGTCTGAATCTGTTGAAGTAGTCTTCGCAGCCTTGTTCAACGGACTCGTGGATCAAAGCGAATGTCTCGGAAAGACGTTCCTTGATGTCGCTGTCCTTTGCGATGATGTCGATTGGCTTGAGGAAGTTCTCGACGACGGAGTAAAGACCCTGGTGAGGCCAGTGTGTGAACCAGTCGATTGTGCAGCCGCTGAAAAGACCTGGGAACTTGAGGTTGCGCTTTCTGAACTGTTCGCCGACTGGTGAGAAGCAAAGAACGATGTGAAGGTTGGATCTGACACGGTTGATGAAGTAACCGTAAACGTTTTGATCTGTATCGACTTGTCCGCGGCATTCCTTGATGAAGATTGGACGCATTTCGGACATGAGAGCTTCGTATGTATCACGGTAGAACAAGTTAGCGATTTCACCTGTTGTCAAGATGTTGTTGATGAATTCGAGGAATGATTCCTGCTTGACTTCGTTATCTGTGAAGATGAATGTTGTTCTCTTGTTGAGGACACCTGCCTGTCTGTAGAGTTCTCTGATATCTGTGAGGAAGTCGTTTGTACCGTAGTTACGGCCTGGAGTGACTTGGAAGATGTTGTAGCCGAGAATTGTTGAGGCAAGGCGTGTAAGTGACTGCTTACCAGAGCCACCGACACCGACAAGAAGAGCGTGGCCACGTGGCATGCCGATGATACGGGCAATACGGACAAGGTGGTTCATAGCATCATCGAAAAGAACGAGATCGAGTTTCTTGCCCTTTGTTGATGGCTTGGAGTTGAACTCGTCCATGAATTCGCGGCATCTCTTGTTGAGGGCATCGAATGTGGAGACTTGCTCGTAGATTCTTGGAATCTTGGAATCTTCGACACCTTCGTATTGAGAGTAATCTGGATCGTGCATGAATGAGCACCATAATCTTGTGGATGCTTCGCGGAGTAAGTGCTCGTATGCGTCACCAAACTTCTCGCAACCAGTCTTTACGATGGCTTCTGAGAACCATGCCTTATCCTGGTCTGTTGTGAACTTATCTGGGAAGACTCTGAAGCACTCGTGAGCCCAGAGAGAAACGAAGAGTTCTGGTGTGTTGACTTCCTTCGATGTGACCTGTAACATGCCTTGTGTGACACGTGAAAGATCACGAAGGTTGAAGACGTAGTGGAACTTGGCTGGTGTTGGAAGCATTCTTCCCTTTGTGGCGGACCAGATGGCGTGTGTTGCATCGACAGCTGTGCCTGCGAGGTTGCAGATGCTCTGTGAGAAGCCTCTTTCTTCGACGAAGAAGCCCTTGAGAATTGTAGCGTAAATTCTGTTGATTGATGCAACATCTGGTAATGTGTAGTTGAAGACAGAGAAGTGTCTCTTGAGTCTGTCTGGAACATCGTTACGACCACCACCTGGTGTGCACATGGCTGCGACGAACTGTGTGTTGATAACTGTGATGAACTCACCTGGCTTTTCGAGTGAATAGAAGCCGGAATCTTCCATCAACTGACGGACAATTTCGTTTGTGACCTGGTCACCCCACTCGTTGATTTCTGGCATGGAGATATCATCGATGAAGACTTCCATGCGCTTGCCACCGATTGGGCCGTAGGAAGAACCGATTGTCTTCTCGAGGACGGACTCAATTGATGTCTGGAAGAGATATGGTGTTGTGGCAGATGAGAAGTTGAAGACCTTGGAAACCCAGCGCTCCTTATCGAATGTGTTCAAGAATGTGTTGATTGTAGCTGTCTTAGCAGTACCAGAGTCACCGAACAAAAGGATGGAGCGGCCGGACTGTGCGAGCAACTGAAGAAGGTACTCGATCTGTGTGTTGTTGATTGTTGGAACGAGGATGGATGCGAATTCTGGTGTCTCCTTCTTCGGATACTCGTATGTCTTGAGTCTTTCTTCCCAGTTAACCCATTCACCGCCAGACTTGAGATCGACGACGTAATCGAAGAGCTTAGCCTTGTCGATGGATGATGGAATGGAAGCTGCGTATTCCTTGCAGAGCCACTGTGAGAGTTGTGCACGGCCATCGAGATCGAGGAAGCCGCCGAATGCCCACATGGCAGAGAAGATCATGAGCTTCTTGAGGATGGCTGGATCCTGGCAGTTGAGTTTGATGAAACCATCAGATTCTCTGGATGTGATCATGGCCTCGAAGATGTGGAGGATTGTTGTGATGACGTGGACCTGTGATGTCTTCATGACCATCTTAAGATGCTTGAAGACATAAGCGAAGAGCTTATCGAATGAAGAAATGAGTTCTGGGAAGATTCTTTCGATAGCCTTGAAATCTTCGCGCTTGGACCATGACATAGCGAGTGGACGCCATGTGAGAATGTGTGATGGAACGTAAATCATACCTGCACGAGAAACTGTAGCTGGTGAAGCGTTATCGAGGGAAGACATTTCGAAGAGAAGCTTGACTGTTGGAGCCATAGGAAGTCTATCACCGTTAGCCAATGTAAGTGTCTTGTTATCATCAAGAACGGAGTTAAGGTTTTCGATCCAAATGGCATCGACTGGGCCATCGAGGCCGAGCCAGACGTTCTTGTTTGTCTTCTTGCAGGCCATACGCCAGAGAGAAGAGAAGATACCATCTGTCCAATCGTTGGATGATGGATCGAGTGTACCGAACATCTGGGAGGATGTGATAGCCTTTGGATTCATTCTGACGAACTCGTGTGGGCAGCGAACTTCGGAGTAAGCGAGGATAAGCATCTTAAGCAATGAAGACTTACCTGAGCCTGATGGGCCAAGGATCATGATGCCGTGACGAACTTCGCATGTTTCCTGAAGCTGCATGGCCTTTGCCATCCACTCTGGGAATGGATCGAGACCGTGAGCGACAGCGTTTTCGATGATGGAGTTCTTGATGGCCATATCTGGTTGTTGATCTGGTTTCTTATCGAAAACATCCTGAAGCAAGTCGAGGAAGAGTGGTTCATCATCGTCGACAAGCTTAGCAAGGTTCATGTTCATAAGAACACGGTTGAGAAGTTCTTGTTCGTTCATTGTTGGGTTGTTGGCACGAACTTCCTTGGAGAAACGAAGAACGGAAAGAATGTTACGAAGACCCCAGTCGTAGTGGATCTGCTTGGAAAGCTGCTCTGAGCAAAGAGCGTAAAGAAGGGCGAACTTGTCGGAAAGTGACATGTAGTCCTGGAAACCGGATGAAGCGAGTTTGACCTTCATGATAAGACGCTTGTCTGGAACCATCATAGCGACCATACGGAATTGAATCTTCAAGTTTTCTGGAAGTTCCTGACGACCAGCGTAACCTGGGTTCATTGTGATGAAGATAGCGACTCTGTTATCTAATTCAACCATGTTACCATCGACGAACTTGAAGATACGCTGTCTTTCACGGCAAGCGTTGAAGATTGTAGCGACTTGCTGAGCAGCGACGGAAAGAACATCGAGTTCAATACGGTTGAACTCATCGAAGTCACCCCAGCAGCCTGCCTGAGCGAGACCACGGAAAATACGGCCGAGACCTTGGTTGTTCATCTGATCGGAGCAGTTGAAAACGACGCACATGATACCGAGAGCCTTAGCCATATCCTTAACTGTCTCTGTCTTGCCTGTACCGGCTGGACCAGCTGGAGCACCACCCATGGACAAACCGAGGGCCTGAGCAAGAGTGATGTAGCATCTATCTGTGAGTGGAGTAATAACGAGACGGCCTGTGCAGCCGAGGTATTCGTAGGAGTACTCACGCTCGACATCTGTGATGGCGATGATGCACTTTCTGCCTTCTGGCTTCCAGTAGTATCTCATCTGCTTCTGCCATTCGAAATCGAGTGGTGACTTGATCTTCATGTCAACAAGAGAGTTGTAGATATCTCTGTTGTGAAGGAAGAGAGTGATGAGAACTTCGATGTGGACAGACTTCAATTTCTTGGACTTATCGAGACCACCAGCGATTTCGACGAGTTTCTTGAATCTCATTTCGAATTCGTCCTTTGTCTCCTTGAAGATCTTCTGGTTCTTGCCATTAGCGCGCTTGAGTGTGTCTTCTGTGCGCTCTGTCCACCAGATCATCATAGCAAGAAGCATGATCTGTGCTGGGAAGTCTGCGTTGACCCACTGCTCGACAGTGAATGTCTGGATTTGTGTGGACATTTCTGTGCAGATGTTGAGCAATGTCTGGCGCATCTTGTTGATGAGGTCGTTGAGCCACTTTTCGACGTTATCCTGGGCAAGGAATGGCTGGTAAAGTTTGACCTTTTCACCTTCGCCGGATTCGAAACCGAGAATCTTGTTGTACTGCATCTGATCGAACTCGAGGTGTGTCAAGTTATCGAAGATGGAGTGGATGTGTGGCTGAATGGCCTGTGGATCTGATGCCTGACCGAGAATTTCGAGAATAACTGGTTCGGAAAGGAAGTAGAAACGTGGGAATGACTGACGCTTCTTTTCGATGTAGCCGGAAAGAGCCTTCTGGCACTTCTGGAGCTGTTCGAGCAAGTGCTTGAAGAGCTTGGCAAGGCCTTCATCGACGAAGCAGACTGTGACGACATTCTTGACATCAGAAGCGTTCTTCATGATTGTCATCCAGTTCTTGTTGATCTGTGCGAATGCCTTTGTTTCCTGTGTCATGTATTTAGCGATATCACCTCCTGAGAAAACGGCTTCGAGGTAGATCCACATGGACTGGACTTGCTGCCACTCTGTGATGACATCTCTTGAAACGGACAACTTCTTCATCCATGATTCGACTTGTGACTTGAAACGAGCGACGAATCTGTTGGAGTTAAGAGAGCTGAGAGCCATAAGAGAGTCTTCGATCTTTGTGATGATTTCGTTTGTTTCTGCACCCTTAAGAAGCATGTCCTGCATTCCCTTGTATGGAGAGAATGTGAACTCTGTTGCCTGCCAATCGCCTTCGATTTCTCTGAGCTTGGCTTCGATCTTGGCTTCTTGTGTAGCTGCGTTGCAGATATCCTGGACATCTTCCTTGAAGTTGAGAAGACCGGCGTCGAAAACGTGGCCGAGTCTGAAGACATCCTTATCTGTATCGATATCGACGTGTGTGAGCTTCTTGATTTCATCCCAGTGAACTGGCTTGACAGCTGGGTTAGAAAGTGCTTCAAGAAGTGGCATTGTGTCGACGAAGTTATCGATCTTCTGGCCGAGATCCTGGTAAGCAGCCCAACCTCTCATTTCGGCTGGTAAGTGACGTGTTCTTGTCTGGAACTCTGTCATCTTGACTTCGATGTCTGAGAACTTAACTTCGACCCAAAGGAAATCTCTGATTTGTCTTGTGTATGTGTTAACTTCGGAGTAAAGGTTGTAAAGTGTTGTTAAGTTCTTGAGTTGCTTAGCGAGAACATCGATTGAGTCCAATTTGGTCTTCTCGAGACCGAAGAGATCCTGACCACCGGAATATGTGATCCATCTCTTCTGGATGTTATCGAACTGGTGCTGAAAGATCTTGAGCTTCTCGGAAGCTTCAGCTGGTGTCAAACCTGGTGCCATAGGGCCTTCTTGGTTGTATTGGATTTGGAATTGCTTGAAGTCTTCGAGGAACTGTGCCATACCTTCGATAACTTGGTTCTTGAACTGAGGAGAAACCTTTTGGAGTGTTTCCTGTTGTTCCTGCTCGAGAGCGCGGAGTTTGCCCCAGTTGTATTGGATGTTATCGAACATATCGAGTTCTTCCTGTGGAACGGTGATTCCGTTCTTTGCGAGAAGGGAATAAGACTCTTCGATTGGAGCCATGAGCTGATCGTATTCAGCGGATTTCTCACGAACAGCCTTGAGAGCGTCCATTGTTGATCTGAGATCATCGAGTTGGTTGATGGACTTTGAAAGAGCGTTCTTCATCTTCTCGATGAAATCGTTGAGCTCCAACATCTTTGAGCGTCCGATCTTGTTCAAGAGATCACCGTATTTCTGCTTCCACTTCTTAGCTTCAGCGATGAGAGCACTTTTGACACCGGAGCAGTCGATGATGATTGGTCCGACGCGTGTCTTCTCGACAATGTCTTCGATCTTTGACTCGAGGAGCATGAAGTTATCCATCTTCTCCTTGATTTGGCGAATTGATGGATTTGTGGCTTCGAACTCCTGGAAGGACTTGTCGCCATCGGATTCCCAAAGGAATGAATACTCGTTGAACTTGGCTGTGTATTCGTTGATCTTCGGGATGAACTCCTTCATTCTGTTTGTCATTGAAATGATCAAAGCGATTGTTGGGTAATCTCTTGTGAGAGCGTTGAAGTAGTTCTGTGCTCTGAAGTCTTGGTTCTGAGCAACAGCGAGTCCGGCTGGTTCGCCTTCCTCGTCTATGTCTCTGTCCTTCTCTTCGTTGTGCTTCTCTGTCTTCTGCTGTTCCGGAGCAGATGGGAATCTTGCGAGAACGAATGTCTGGATGTCCTGTGTTGCTCTGAGCATTGCACGGACACCTTCATTGAGTGTTGATTGGATTCCGTTGATATCTGGGGATAATGTAAGATCTGGAACAGTTGGACGGAGTTCTGTTGAGAAGAGTGTTGGATCGTGTTCCTTAGCAGCTTTGAGGGCTTCGCATAAATCGTTCATTGAGTTCTTGAAGCACTTAACAACTGCTCTGAATGTGATCTCTTCGTATGTCTTGAACATTGACCAGACAAGGCTTCCTGTGACAATCATTGTGTTGTCTTCCTTGTTGTACTGGAAGAGTTGCTTTGGCTCTGACTTTCCGTCATCGTCTTCCTTCTTCGGATCGATGTCGGAAACTGTTGAAATAATGTTGATTATTTCGCAGACAGAGGCTTGGATACCTTGTACACGGGCATTGATCTTTTGGACAGCTTCAGCGGCGTGTGATGAGATTTCGTCGATGAAGTGCTGTGGATCAGTGATGTTCGACTTGAATGGTGGGCAGAGTGGTGTTTCTGCGATCTCCTGGAGTGACTTGTTGATTGAGAATGTGCGGATATCGTTGACTTTGTTGAGAACATCCTCAATTTGAGAGATCTTCTGCTTCAATGTCTCGATGTAGTTATCGATGTTAAGAGATGACCATGTTAATGTCTGGCCACCTGGAGCGATAACTGCTTCAAGCTTCATTTGGGCGTCTCTGAAGAGATCTGGGAATGTCTCTGTGATCTGGAAGAGAATTGTATCGTGGCGGACGAGTAAGTTCTGTAACTCAGTGCGGCATTTCTTGATGTGTGCCTCCTGAGAAACAAAGGACTCGAACTGTGGTGGTAAATCGAATTTGAAGCGGCAGAAAACGTTGGCTTCCTGGAAAATTCTGAGAACATCATGTGAGAAGTTGACAGTGAGAACGTGGTTAGAATCCATCTTGATCAATGTATTCTGCATTTCCTTCTTAAGAAGGGCAGCATTGTCCTGGAACAATTCATAACACTTCTTCTCAAGGTCGGCCAATTTGTACAATGTTGGGTTGTACTTGGCAACAAGCTTCTTGTTCTCGCCTTTATCGAAGACACCTTCGTGCTTCTTGAAAACTTCCATTGGACCGGTGATTCTGTCCATTAATTGACGAGTTCTGGCAATGCAACCGGCAATTGGTGGCATGTTCTTGATCTGAAGCTTCTTGTTGTTGAAACTGGAGGCCATCTGTTGTTGCTCCTTATCAACAAGGTCGAGATCTTCAGAATAGCGTGTTAATGTCTTTGTAAACCACTTTTCAAGCTCGGCCTTGCCTTGCTGGCGGGTCATTGTGCCGGAAAGCTCGGTATAGAGGTCGAGAGCGGCCATTGGAGTTGGTGTAACTTGGAAGGCATCGCTGATGATTTGGCGGATTTGAGTATCGAGTTGTACGCAGTTTGTTTGGAAGAGCTTGTAATCCTTTTGGAATGTTTGGTTACGTGGATCAAGCATCTTGTAGGAAACGCGCTTTGTAAAATCGATATCTTCAACAAATCTTGTAACAATTGGAGCCATACCTTCAAGGCGGCACTTGGAGAGGTTGTTGAACTCATTAATTGTTGTAAACAAGTTGATCAAGTAGTCGCAACGCTCAGAAAAGGCATCAAACTTACCGAAGATGATGAAATGCGTCTTAAGTTCGCGTGTTGTGTTGGAATCATCCTTCTTGTCTGATGACTTGCCTGTCTTGTTGAGGTCGCCTGTCTTGTTGGCTGGTTGTGTTGTATCGAGAGATGGAACCTTTGTCTTCATTGTGTTGTTGTAGCATTCCTGGTAGCGCTTGTTTAAATCAATGCACTCGTGGAACTTCTTAATGAGAAGAGTTCTGTCTTGCTCGTAAAGTTGGCCGCTTGGGCAGATGTAATGGACACAGGTGTTGATCATCTGGTTTGTAACCTTCTTAAGAAGGGTGCAGATGCGCTGTGGTGATCTGTAGTAGCGGGAGATGTTGTGGACCATGGATACTGATGTAATAAGTCCTGGAACGAGTTCGCCACACTCTGGTGGGTCGAGAGCGTAAAGAAGTTCAGTATACTTCTCAAGGGAAGTAAGATACTTAACGTTATCCTTAGCTTCGTTAGCAGATGCTGTAATCTTAGCATCAAGTTCGTTCCAAAGTGTAAGAATCGGTGGTCTCTTGATCTTAAGAACAGAGACAACGATTCTGACATCGTTGGACTTGATGGATTCGACGAGTGATGAGAAAATTGAGAGACGCTCGCGCCAGTAATCCATTTCGGCACGTGGACCACTGTCCTCGTCTTCTTGGCGGACTTGCTCGGTAACATTGAGAAGGCCTTGGATCTGTTCGCACCACTGTTGCATCTTTTGAGCAAATTTGTTGGTGATAGAATCATCGTGGGAAGCCTGGAGAAGGGACTGTGAATCGAGTGTAACACCGTGCATGTCGGCCGGAGGTTCTAAGATAACGGCCTTTGATGTAGCTTCAACTGTGGAGCTAATTGATTGAGACTTACGCTCGATGCCTGTGAGGATAATGTTGAGAGACTTCCTGTCAATGCCTTCGTCAGCTGAATCAAGTGCTGTACGGATAACACCGGAATAAGACTTTGAAAACATCGAGTTGAAGGATGAGATTGGATCTCCAGCAATAATGCCGGCAGCAACCAATTGATCGATGTTGTTGTTTGAGAGTGCTTGCTTGTTTTCCTTCTCAATTTTGAGGAAGTATGGAGTTAAAATGCATGACTTGCCTGGGTACTCAGAGGGGTCATCTGAGACTGTCATTTCTAATGGTTCTCTTGATGTAACGTAGAAGAAGAGAGCTGGTACCTCATCGTGAGTAGATAAGAAATTGTTTATCTTACTCATCTGTTCGCCTGAGAGGTTGGCAGCCCAGTCTTCGACAGCGTTGGAATTTTCGAAAAGAAGATTTTCGGCAATCTTCGTCCAAAGGAATTTGTAACGAGGATCAGCCATTATTAAAATGTAAAAATTTTGTCCGTTATTTATTTTAAAACAACTGCAAACAATTCTTTCAAAATGGAATATGAACTGATAGCAAAAGCCAAATGATTGCAAATTATCTTATTTTTGCGATCAATTTTTGATGAAAATTAATAACGATAATTTCATAAGAAAAGGCAGAATATTCTAACTATGCTATCTCAAAAGCTTAAGTTATAAAATTGAATATTTGTAGATGAAATGTCATGAAATGATTTCAAAATTTGCCAAATAAAGCAAATTCATACCTAAAACTACCAAAAAAATCATGAATCCGTAATATTTCAAAATTTTTCGATGTATTTGGTCCACAATATCTGAGCACAGAATAAAACACTAAAGTTTGCAACGAGATATTCTGAACAAAAAAAGTCAGGTTTTTTAAATTGAAGGAATTATCATTTATAGAATATAACTATAATATTTATATAAAAGTTGAGTTTGAAATGAATGAATTGGAAACAACGTTGAATAAAACGACAAACATTTAAAAATAATTATGACAACTGATACACATACAGCAGTGACTTATCTCACTTCGACTGTAATATTAATATGAAGCATTATTTGGTCTGAATATAAAATATTTTATGAACAAATATGTACTCTATTCATTCATATATTTTACTAAGTAAGATCATTCGCTATCAATATCCAGTCCAGAATATTCTTAGAATTAATGATTATGAGCTTGATATTTGTGTTGTAAAAGATTTTTTTATGATTCGTCTTTAATTGAGCATACTATGAGATGTATAAGCCTATCACATTACTCATTTATTCCAAAAAAAATTCAAAAAAAAACAAAAATAGAAAATCGTTGAAAATTTATTATGAATGAAGAAAATAGCTTTCAAGTGAAACCTCCTTCAAATAGTCCTAGTGGACGTCCAATATCCCTAAGAAGGAATGAAATTATCCAAAAAGATGGTCCAGAAATCCCATACGTTTGGACTCAGATTCAAAAAGAACAGAAAAAGATTATCGAAGCACCGAATGAAAGAGCAAAAGAGCAGCATAAAACAGATTTAGTTCTTAAAGTTCGTGCTGCTGTTGATAATCCAAAAAAAATTGAAGAAGATGATGATTCCGAAGTTGATGATGATATTATTGAAATAAAATCGAAAATTGATACTCTCTTAGACGAACACAAACATCGTACACAAGAAAATGAAACAAATTTAGTCGAATTAAGAATTGTTTTAGATAATCTTACATCTTCAATAGATCAAGACTCAGAAAACGAGCAAATTGACGAATCAACTAAATACATAGGCCAAGTTCAAGAAGGTCAAAACCGTTTACAAGAATCAATTAATTACCTTGTAAAAGGTGCTGCACAGTTATTCATGCAGAAAAATCACGTTAAGATCGAAAAATTACGTTCTGATATTAACGATATCACATTCTTGACATCACAAGTTGATGAACAAATTCGAATTAAAAATTCTTTACTTGAAGAGAAGTTAGATTCAATTGCAAAGATAGATGCTTCCAATGCAATACTCAGACGACGCATTGAAGGCACTAAGAATGAAATTCGCGCAATAGCTGGCCAAGATTTCGAAAATATTCCAGAACTTGCACGAACATACAACGATACAATGAAGAAAATACTTGAAGAAGAGACAGAGCTCACAAAACAGCTCTGGAATCTCCAGTCACAGCTTGAAAAAGAGAAAAAAGAACAAGTTCAAATGGGATTACTTTATCAAAAGGTGAAAGACCATCCAATTAGAGTTGCACAACTCACAGAAGAGATGGAAGCAAAGATATCACAGCTCAGATCTCAATTATACGAGAAAGAAAAACAAAATTCTTTAGAACGCGGCCAAACAGCTCTACAATACCAAACAGAGACACAAAGATTAGTAATGCAAGCAAGAAAGGAAAGAGAAGAACAACTTTTCTCATTGAAAACGACTCAAATTCAAAATTTGCTCCAAGCAGAGAAACAATCTCGAGATGATAAGATCAGATTGATAACAGGAGCCAACTCCAATCTCAGTGGAAACAAGAGCTTCAAGCAGAAGTTGATGCAATTCGAAAATGAATCAAAATCTTTAGTTACAGATTTCGAAAACTCTGTCAAACAGATAAAACAAGATTTCCAACAAGCAGAAAGGCGTGTTAAGAAAGAACAAGAGCAGCAGATACAAGAACTGGAAGAAAAAGGAAAACAAGAGCGAAAAGGATTAGAATCTGAAGTTTCCATGCTCGATGCGGCTCTTTCTGCCAAGAATGAACAATACCAACACAGTCAAGCCAAACTACAACAGCTCCAGGACCAATTAACTCAATTGAAAGAAAAAATCGCAAGAATCGAAGTAAATAACCAACAATTGGAAAATTCTCTGTACGGATCTACCAACAAAACAGAGGATTTGATGCAGATGCTCATAGAGAACGAGAAGAGGAAGGAAGAAGAGAAGAGACTCATCTGCAGAGAGTTGATGGAAAGTTTCTCAAGCCTTGCTTATTTCATGGTTTTGACTGGAGAAAAAGAAGGTGATTGGGTGGAAGAAGCAAAGATCTGCTACAAAGAGGCAATAGATGCATGCGAATCATCTAACAACATGCATGTTCCGGTGCCTTTCGAGAGAAGCCGTCCTACACTTCAGGATGTGTTGAATTCAAGAAAATCAAAGTCAAAGAGAAGAAAATCTTTTAGTTAAATTTGTCTTTTTTTGTATGTATGTAAATATTAATATCATGAATATTATAAACTTTTATTTTTGTTACCTTTTAGGCAAACCATTATATAGAATGACAATCTTTATTCGCTATTGGATCGTAAAAAGAAGGAATATGACAAAATTAACATAAAAATCATGAATTATTTGTTTTGTGGAGATCAAAACGAGTGTTTCAAATCTTTTTAAGACGTATTGTTTCTAAGATAGATTATAATAAACACGTTGAGATCATTATCGCTTGTATTTATTCATTAAACCAATGCTAATGTTTAATGCCTACAAATTAAATGAAAAATCTAAACGTGGATCTGCAGACATCTGAAATTAGATCGTTATCCCCGTTTTTCACATGATAAATATTTAACTCATATGCACACAAGTAAAAATAAAGTGTTAATTACGGATAGCGAGGATAAAAAAACAATTTTTACAGAAAAAAATTTGCCTAAGCAAATGTAGCTCTATTTCTAGAAACTACATTATGTGGAAGAATGTTTGACCTTGAGAAGAATGAGTTCTTGATCATCTTTGGAACAATAATTCCCTTAGTAGAAGATTTCTTAACTAAACGTGTGGATTGGTCGTCTTCATCTTGGAAGTATGGCATTTTGAGGAGTTCATCTATTGTTGCGCGATTCTTAACATCAACTTCAAGACATCTTGAGATTACATCTCTCAATTGTTGATCCTTGACAAGGCGGATGTTGTATTGGCCTTCTTGGATGTTGCTTTTTATATCGTAATCCGATTCACCATCGAAAGGGAACTTCCTAACGACAATGAGATAAATACTGACACCGAAAGCCCAAATATCAGCCACAATTGGGTTATAAGCAACATTAGAAAAGATCTCTGGTGCCATAAACTCCAAAGTACCGCCACGTTTGGAAGAACATGGCTGGCCAGTGAAAATTCCGCACATACCGAAATCGCTTATTTTTAATCTTCCGTAGAAATCAATCAGAAAGTTACTTGGTTTTATATCTGAGTGTGCAGCATTTCTGTCATGGCAGGCCTTTATTGATAAAGCCATATCACGAATGTATGATTTCATTTGCGAATCTGTAAATTTATGCTTTTGCCTTAGTTCTGCAAGTAAATCTGTACGGCAATACTCCATTAGCATATAAATGTTTCCATCATTAGCGAACTTCTTGTAGAGACGAACAACTCTGGGGTCATCTATATTGACTAAGCATTGTAATTCACCGTCCATAAATTTTGGCTCTGGTACTTTCTTCAAAGCAAAGTATGATTTGTAGTGATCGCAGTATACGTAAAAAACTACTCCGTAAGCGCCCTTTCCTAATATTTTAATAACTTTGATTCCTTTGCTAGCTAGAAAGTTAACTTCTGCTTGATTCATTACAAAAATTTGAATCTTGAAAATTTTTTTACTTTGGCCCTCAATTCGTATGGTACTATTCAATTTTCATAAATTTCTCAAATTTAAAATTTGGGAAATTATATATGTTTTCATAAGTCATTCTAGATAAACCTAATCATCTTTTTATAAAGTATTCAATTTTTGAATAGGATAACTCAGATCTTATTCATTAATTTAATGACCATTTTTAATGTAATTTTAATATACACTATTTTCACAGCAATATCTATTTTCAGATTTTTTCCTTTCAGCTTCTTTGGTCGTTTACGTTTTGTGAATCGTGAATACCTTTAGAATAAATGTATATAGGACAAATTGTTCATTGGTCAAATTGTCAAACAATTTCTCAAATCTGTAATGTATTTCTGTGAATCTCTATTTGCATTTAAATATACATCAAGTAAACAATAAAAACATTAACATATTATACCCAATTACTCTCAAATTATGCTCATTTTTTTCAAAAATGTCATTTAAAATAAAATTGCTTGTTTAGATTGAATTATTTCATTCAATAGTTTAGAATCTTGGATTTATGAAATTCTATTAATTTTTCTAAATTAGTTGGTCCATTGAATTTTATCGTCTTTTCCCAAAATTTTTCCCAAACAGTGGGAAATTATTGACTCAAATTGAACCGCTCTCATATTTTCCCATTTGTATAATTTCCTAACAACAATTCCCTTATTGTTTTTGTCTCTTTCATTCCGAGTCTTTATTATCCAACTATTTACTTGACATAATTGTCCTGTGAACTGTTGCTTTGTAAGATTTTCCATAGATCGAACTCTAATTCCATGAAAATCAACGTGGGAAATGGGACTTATTGGAAGGAATCCAGAAGAGACGCATAGCATTAATTTTGCAAAAAGACAAACAAATGCTGAGGAATACAAGGAAATGATCAACAAAAAGCTGTTGGAAGAGCTAAACATTGTGAAACATCTAATTCTTATCTGATTTCCACTATATGTTGACGATACTAGAAATGATAAACCTATAATACCAATTACTTATATACAAAGACTTCCGGCAACAATTAACAAATTGATAAAATACTTCAATTTGATTTCTAGTTATACCAGAGTATCAAAAATTTGATGATGTATATGAATCAAAAAAGCTTCCCTATTACCTCATTTGTCTCGCTACATCAAAGCATTTTCAGACTTTATGACAATTACAATAATGAAAATATAATCACCCTTTATTAATTTATTCAATTGTTCATTAATGTGACTTTGCTCCATGTTTTGTTAAGTATTCCACAATTTCAATAGAATTCTGTTTAATAGCAAGATTTAAAGGGCATTCATTATGATCAAAAGAATTTCATAAAATAGGGAAAGACATTAAAATGTAGGGAATGCGATATCAAAATAGAAAATATGCTGAAATGAAAGAGAACAAGTTCCAAATTGGCATCAGCACCATGCTCCACTAAGTATGTGACAAGTTCAATTGAATTCTGTTTAATTGCAATATTTAGAGGGCATTCATCATAATCAAAAGAATTTCATAAAAACAAAGAATAATATTAAACGAAAGAAAATCCAATAAGAGAATTATAGAATGTAATAAAACAAAGGATAATATGAAAATTAAGAAAATTTGATAAAACAAAGAAAGATATGATGATAAAGGGAATACGAAAAAACAAAAAATGATGTCATAAATCAATGAAAAACATGCAAACAAAGAAAATATAATAACACAACAATAGATATTAAATTGAAGATAATGGTATAATACAATGATCAATATTAAAATAAGGGTAATGCATTATAACAATGAAAGATATTCAAATAAAGAAAACGTCAGTTAACAAAGAAAGAAAAGACGATGAAACAATTGAAGATATGAAAACAAAAAGAATGTAATAATAAAATGAAAGATATGAAAAGTAAAGAAACGCCACAAAGCAAGAAAGGATATAATAATAAGATAGATGTTATAAAACAATGAGCAATATGATAATAAATATGATGTAATATAACAAAAAAAGATATTTAAAGAAAGAAAATGTAATACTACAATGAACTCTAGTAAAAGAAAGAGAATGACATAAGAAAATGATAGATATTTAAAGAAATAGAATTATATCAAACAAAGAAAGACATATCATTATTAAGAATCTGATTTATTAATGATAAATATTTAAAGAAAGCGAATGTCATAGAGCTATGATAAACATTTAAATAAAGTGAACGTAATATAATAAGCAAAGATATGAAAAGAAAGAAGATGCAATGAAACATTGAAAGATATGAAAAGCAATAGAAATAGTCTCTTATTAACATTTGCACCATGTTTAATTCAGTAGTTCACAAATTCAATTGAATTCTGCAATATTGCAATAGTGAGCGGACAATCATTATGATCAAAAGAATTCTATAAAGCAAAGAATAGCATTTAAATGAAGATAACGCTATTTAACATGAAAAGATATTAAATGAAAGAAAATATAATAAAATGAAGATATATATGAAAATATCGTAAATGTAATAAATCAACGAAGTATATCAAAGGAAAGAAAAGGTCATAAAACCAAGAAAGATTTTAAAATAAACAGAATGTAATATAATAAAAAAAATATTACATTAAAGAGAATATAATGAAATAATGAAGTACAATAAAGGAGAATGGATCTCATATAATCAAGAAAGATTTGAGCATGAAAAAGAAAGAGAAAGACTTCTTTATTGACATCAGCACCATGTTCAACTAAGTATTTAACAATTTCAAATGAGTTTTGTTTAATTGCAATAGTGAGAGGGCTTTCATATTGACTTTGAAGTTCATTCAACAATGATTAATATGATATAAAATAAAACGAATAATCGGTCCAAATCTGTACCATTTGAAAGTAAATAAGAAGCAATATTATAGTTTCCATAATATAAACTCTGGGCAAGAGAATCTGGAACTTGTTCCAAATTAGATTTAAGATATTCAGCAATTTCATAATTATGGTAATCCAATGCTGTATTGATCATATCATTAAACAAAAAGCCATCTTCTAACATTTGGGAAAATATATTTTTATTTCCACCCTGAACAGCATATCTTTCAGAGTTTATAGAATATTTTGCTCCTTTATTTTTCAGGTAATTGAAACATAATTCTGATCCGAATTTGATACTACAGTCAAGAAGTGTTAAAAGATCAATTCTATTATTAACATCAATGTTTGGGAATTTGCTCTTAAGTTCATCAACTTTATCCCAAGCAATATAGTATAAAGGAGATTCTTTGTCATATAAATTGAGAATTTCTTCTTCAGTGATTTCAGGTTTGAAATCTTTGAAATTGATTCCTTTAAAAAATAACAATGTTGCAAGTTTTTTATTCATAGGCTTGAATGGGCATGATAGTTCATTGAAAATACTTAGATAAATTTCGACAAATAATGAAATATCTTTAACTCGAATCTCTGAGAAAATATCAATCAAATTTAGTGCCATTTGAACAGATATTTTATTATTTTTAATGAAGTCTATTATTTGCATTGATGATTCAAAAAGATTATTGGAATTGATTGAAAATATAATCTCTGATGCTTTATTCGGGTATTCTAAGATTTCGATAAGCTCAATTTCCCTAAAATTCAGATTAATTTCGATATCTGACTGTACTGATGCCATCATTTTTGAATAAAAATTATGGAAAAAGTGTCATTTTTGCTGAATCCCTAGATACAGTCCCAACCATGTAAATAGAAACGAAAACAACTATCAAATTTTCGAATGATGCTGAGGATTTATAATATAGATTTCCATAATTTTTTTTTAATTTACTCGATAGAACAACTTTTTAATGATAAATCAACTTCATTTCTTAGAGGTATTTACAAGTTCTGCATAATTAAATCTGTCTTCAATGTTATAAAGTTTTGATCATCGCAATTTAATCCGGGTAGAAAAATAATGCTTAACTCTATTTATTCATCTGTCAAATTAGCGAAATCTAGACATATGAGAGAAACCAAGCATTAATTTATTAGTAGTATATAATGCGGGTTTTGTGACTTTTTTTGTAAACGTAAGAATTCATACAATATCGAGTGATTTTGTATCATTTTTTTTAACATATGAAGTAAAAAATGTATGATTCTTACGGTTTTTATTCTTACGTTTTTGAATAAATCAAGATTTAAAAAATTTTCAAAATTGTAAGACATTTACACTAAACCCATACATAATGAAATAAAAAAAATAAAAAAAATAAAAAAATAAACTTTAAAAATTCATGTCTTACATTTTTGAATAATTTATTTTTTAATTTGTATGAAAATGAGTGTCAAAACTAACAACGTTAAAAAATTGGGATTCACAAATGAGGAAATAAAGGATATATTAGAGGAAGCGGGTTATGAGGTTAGTAAATATTATTTAAGAAATTGTCAAAAATTCGCGGAGTTTTTAAATGAGTTTGATTATGATAGAAAAATGAATAAAGATGATGTTATAAATTTCTTATATCCCACATCTGAAGAAAAACCTAAAGAACCTGATGTTTTCCCTGAATATTATGAAGAACGGATTAAAGATGATGAATATGATGAAATTGAAAGACTGGAAAAAATAAGAGATGAAATAGATGAAAAAATTAAGGAATTAAGAGAAGTTGAAAAATATAATGAAAATGAAGTAGAGGGTTTAATGAATATCCCAGCTTCAGAATCAGCAGTTCAAAAATCTCATGAAGAAAGATATAAAAATTATGTCTCAGAATCAACACAAAATTTATTAGATGGTGAAATAGACGAAACACTTTCAGAAGAAGGTACTAAATTTATTCATAAACATAAGTTACAATTTATTGACGATGGAGATTATCCATGTATATTACTTTCACCTCCTCTTGATTCTGAAAAATTCAAAAAAGCACTGAAAAATGTAACATATGCAACAAATACGATTAAGAAAGAAGACCATGATATTTACACAAATTATTATTTAAATAAATGCACAGGTGTT